TTTTATCCTTGCGCCACATGCAGCTCAGCAGCACACAGAGCCTTGCTGCTGGCACTCCACCCTGTTGTTCCCAAACTGTATCTTAGCCCAAAAACTAAGGGGAGAAAAAATACACAGTTTCAAAGCACCAGCAAGTTCCTAAGCGCTCTGTCTTTGCTTTCAACCATGGTGCTTCCAGGAAGGTGATGGGGCAGGCTGATCATGGCAGAAAAGTTTCCTGTGAGCGTGGCGAAGGTTTTGATCGATGTTGTTTGGGTGGCCTGGCAGAGGGGGGGATTTGGCGTCTCTTACAGGTGCTTGGGGGAAAACCCCTTCGTGCTGCCTAGAAAAGGGGGACTGAGGAACAGCGTCCTCCTCTGCCACCAGGCATCTCACCTCTCTTCTGACAGCAGCCTGGTCCCCGTCCGGCTGCACGGCCAAAGCGGTGGATGCTGTACTCGTTTAGGGAGAACACTTAGTTGCATTTTCACCCCACAGACAATCCCTGGCTCAGCAAGGTCTTGTCAGAGAGAAGCTCTCAATTAATGAGCACCAGATTTCCATGACAGGCTTTGCAGAGTGTGTCCCTAGAACACGTGTGTCTGAGCGTTTTGTCATTTGCTCGTTCCTCCAAGGGATGTGTTATCAAGCGGTGAACAACTGGCAGCATTAATTTAAAGTTACAAAGGTTCTGTCGGGGAATTACCATATGCTTCAATTTTTCTTGTGCGTTTAAGGGTTTTCTAGTTCATAAGTATTAAAACCATCAATCAGCACATACTTTGGGACGTCTGAGACCTGGATTTCTTCGCCACTGAGCCATCCTGATTATTCACAGAGCAGACAGTGATATGTATGTACGTGGGGATGATACGTATTGACCAAAAATAGGTTCAGGTTGATATATTATGACCAAGGAGGAAATGTGGGTGAAAGCAGGCTAAATTTCATTGCACCTTCCTGCTTGCACGCCTGACAAGATTTAATTTTCTTTTCTTTTCCTCTTTCACTGATGTAGCTGAAGAATAAATTCATGAAGAAATTACCCCGTGATGCTGAGGCCTCCAACGTGCTGGTTGGGGAGGTGGACTTCCTGGAGAGTCCTTTCATTGCCTTCGTCCGGCTGCAGCAGGCGGTTATGTTGGGTGCTCTGACCGAAGTCCCCGTACCTACCCGGTAAGAGAATCCAGCCCCTACGCAGGGGACAAGAATTGGAAACTGTGATTCCACCTTATGAAATAAAAGCACTGGGATGAAAGAAGATATTCTCCATTGCTTTCCATCCTGTGGCTTGCATAGTGATCATGTATTTTTTTAAAGATTATTTGTTTAAAATAACAAAAGTTGCTGTAGCTCCTTAATCATTTTCAGGTCCTGATTTGGGTTCGATGTGAGCTGTGAAATACAGGAACACACTAACTTCACAACTTAGCAGTACAGGGCTCCATCAGTGTGAAATCTAACTACTGGGGGTTTTTTCCTGCCCCTTATGACTCCCCCCCCAACATACCATGTACGTATCTCAGATTCCCTCTGCGTTTTTTTGCTACAGGGCTCCATCAGTGTGAAATCTAACTACTGGGGGTTTTTTCCTGCCCCTTATGACTCCCCCCCCCAACATACCATGTACATATCTCAGATTCCCTCTGCATTTTTTTGCAGTGTGTATTTTTCCTCTTAAAAATGAATGTTAGACAAAAGATGCAATTCTGGTCTTGCTGAGGGGAATAAAAAGTCAGATAAACTGGAGGATAAAATTCTGTCACAGTGTTCACGCTGTATGTTGCTTTGTAATTCATAATGGTTCAGAGAAAAACGTCCTGTGAATATTTTATTTCTTGTGACTCATTGTAAATTAATCCACAGTCTCACAAATATGAATATATCTTATGTTCTTAAATATTTGAATTCACTACTTGAATATGCATCATGGTCTGTTCAGTGAGTGTCCATATCCACCAGAACAGCAAAGCTGAAGTGCTGATTGAATTCTTAGCAATATTACCCTTCGCTATACAGCTGCGCATCGTTCATCACGTAAATTATCACTCTAGGTGTCCAGACCATCTGCGCGTGAGCATTGTGTGGCAGTATGTCTTTGCTTGATCTGCATGTGCGCGCACCCCTAGGTAGGAGCTGTAGAAGTGATTAGTATTAAAAGGTAATGAAGCGCAGGAAGAGTGAAGCGCGGCAGAGTTTTAGTGAGAAGGGCCGGCGCAGCTGCACGTGGACAGCCTGCAGCTCCTCCACCATCTCCTCTTTCAGCCCAGCGCCGGTCTCTGCGGTGCCGTGTTCCTCGACGCTGCCGCGCGGATGCTGTTACCGCAGCGCACCTGGGCTCTGGAGTGCTTATGGGATCAGCTTACAAAGGATCCACTTTGCATTTTGGTTGTAATTATGGAGCTCAAATTGCACCTTTCACATCACTAATGTGCAAATACATATTTGATGAGAACGGTTTCAAGGGCTTTCAATACGGAGTGAAAGTTGTAATTTGAATAATGCCTAGAGGGTTTGAGGCTGTATCGGGTCATATTTTATGAGAAGAGACACAGTACCACGACAAAAGCACGTGGCTCGTGCGTGGCTAGTGCTGCAATGGATCGCAGCCATAGTGGGGGATGGAAGTTACATGGCTGTTACAATCTGTACCTTATTTCCACATACAAAACACAGGGAAAAGATGGGCTAGTTTTGCTGTTTGTTTAGTAGCCTTCTAGTAATGCAGCAATGTTTGTATTTCTTGGAGTTCCTTTAAGTGGCTCCTAACAATAACTGCGTCCACAACTGTTTGCGCACACTGGGTGAGATACAAGTGGCTTAATTTTATACAAGTTTATTCTTCATTCTTCAGCGTTACTGAGCTCTGTATGCCTCAGTATTTCAACTTCCAAGTCTAATCCCACTTTCTCTTTTTTTTAAACACATCTCCGCATGCTTTTCAGCAGACGTAAGATGAGGTATTGTTTGTTTTGGTAGTGGGAGCCAGGAAGTTGGATCTAGGATTGCTGAACGACCTCATTACTCAGTAGCATTAATCAAGACAATATGTCCTTCCTCGCCAACATTTTTTCCAGGAAATAGTATTATCCATTTGCTGTCCTCCAAACCAAATGCTATCCCTAATCAAAGCAGGGAGGCTCATTAGATGGCTTTTGTGAGTAATGAAGAGCCATTTGCAATGGCTGCATCCTGTGAAATTCAATCAAGGAAATCCCAGCAGGGCCCAGACAGGTTATGATGGAGTGGCTCCTGGGTCAGCCCGGAGCCTCAGCCATCTCTCCCGGCAGGCCTTTCTGGTGTGGACGTGCACTTAGCGACCTGCAGACTCCGCAAGATGCTGGACCTGGAGCCTTCAGCATCACCCCCCCACCCCGTCCTTCTCTCCCTCAGGGCTCCCTCTTTTATTTTGTGAAATTATCAAGTTCCTGGTAAAATTGCCAAAACCACGCCATCAAAACGCTGTGCAAAACCACCTGGGGTTTCTAAATAAACATGAGCTAACGTTTCAGCGCTGCGGCTTGCTTCAGGAGTATCGTGACCCGGGTATATTGAGTAACTGCAGCCCGACCTCCACCTCTCTCTCTTTAGAAAGCAGGTTGCTTTTCCATGGGGCTGGCGGGGGGTTAAACACCCAGGTTTTGGCACCAAACTGTGGGCATGTGGTCCATCCCACGGAGCAGAGGTGGCCTTCGCGTGGCCATCCATTCCCACGGTGACAGGCAGTGAAGTGCGCTGCTGGAGACGTGTTTGCACAGCGATTCCATTCATGTTTCTGGTGTGCCGTGTTAGTTACGAAATCTCAAGCTCTTTAGCAACTGCAGATACACTGAACGCGTCCCAGGAGCCGGCACAGTGCCTTGTCCTGGAGAGGTGACCGTGGCAGGGATCAGGCATTGGAACAGGCTGCCCAGGGAAGTGGTGGAGTCACCATCCCTGGAGGGGGCCAAGAAACATGTAGATGTGGTGCTTAGGGACATGGGTTAGTGAGTTGGGTGGTGTGGGTTGACGGTTAGACTTGATGATCCTTGAGGTCTTTTCCACCGAAGCTGGTGAAGGGTCTGGAGCACAGGTCTTATGAGGAGCGGCTGAGGGAGCTGGGGTTGTTTAGTCTGGAGAAGAGGAGGCTGAGAAGAGACCTCATCACTCTCTGCAGCTCTCTGAAAGGAGGTTGTTTCCAACCTTAATGATTCTATGATTGTTGGATCGGTGGCAGAGGGATGGGGAAGGCCCTCCCAAGCAGCTGGAAGAAGACAAGAAGGCAGAAAGTGTTCCCAGCCATCACATCGTGTCGTACAGCTTTCCGAAATGCACGAAGCCATCTTGATATTTTGCTTTTCAAAGCACTGACCTGGAGGGGAGAGGGCAGCAAGAGGTCTCATTAGAGTAGCTGATAATCGGTGTATCAGCTGCAACCATGAGCTGGACGTGTGAGAAATGGCCACAATCTTTTGATGTAGAAGCAAATATGACACCAAGCCCTGCAGAGGTGAAAGGCTCGTGATATCTCTCGTCCCTGCCCTGGTTTGGTTTATTTGTGTTTACCTAGTACTGTAGAAAGAAGGAGGATTATTGTGTGCATAAGGTAGACAGTATTCAACGTGTAGACTTCCAGTTAAATAGGTTACTTATTTCTGCTGATATATATTTTTTTTTCCTCCACACATTCTTTGGCTTGGACTTTTCTTGTAAGTTACAGAATTTTGGACACTTTTTAGAAGTAAGATTTCCTGTGTAGAAACGACTCTGCCTTGGATACATGAATTTTATATGTATTTTTTTTTTCATTTACTCTTCCTTGCGAAGTATTTTAAGTATTTCCTTTAATTAAAAGTAGTTTTTTATTTAAAAGAAACCAACAAGATCTCATGAACTCTGCAGGAAAAGTTTCTCAGCAGAGTGTTTTCATACAGCCCTAGTAATAAAAATCGGGGATCTGAAATGGATATAGAGAGATCCCTTTCACAGTATTGCGTGTTCTTTTTACTGATCAGATTGAAATACCTTTCAGGACCTTGGTTTTTCTTGTGTTGAATTTAATTCCACATCGCTATGAACTGCTCATTTTGGCAAGCACTTAGGCACTGTACTTGCACCGTGGCTTTGGTGTGGCTGTTCCTCCTCTGGACAACAGAATAGATGTAGCCTTTTATTTTCAGAAAAGAAATGTGCAATTATGTGTACAGGTCTGCTGCAGTAATGTAATGTTAATGGGGGAAAAAAGATGAAGAATGAGCAAGGGAAAGATTTTTTTTGGAGATAAGCTGTACAGACGTGCGTAGTCTAATATGTAGTGCTGGGAAATTGCCTGTGTCTGCAGCTCTCAGATGAGATGAAGTAACTTGCCCAAAGGTCACTTAGGAAGCACGTGGCAGAACCAGGAGTCAAGTTCTCCTCCCTTAGCTCCTAACTTGAGCTTTTAACTGCAAAGGCATCTTCTTGGTAGGCAAGGATGAAATGTGCGTCTTGTTCGTTAATTGTAGCATTGAAATGGTTTTCAGGGCTGTGTCCTTTAGCAGCCTTTCCAGCAGAAGGACTCGCTCTGGGAAATCGGAGCTCTGGAAGCAGAGGTCGACCTTTGTCTGTCTGCATGTGTGTGGTGGACACTGTGTGAGGTGCCTGCAGTGTTGGTATGTTGCCCAAAACTTGAAAGATCACATGTGTGAAATAGAAGACGGACCAAACACTTCACCATCTCCTTTCGTTACTGCAGTCTCAAGTTGTGCTCCTTTCATCAGAGGTCCAAGCCTCAGGTTCTGCTGGAAAAGTACATCATGAGGTTGTTCTTCCGGCCCTCGAGTCCATCGACATGTGTCTCAATAGCGAATGCTGGATGCCTTGCAGGCGTCACACATGGTGTCCAACAACAGAAGGACTGCTTCCCCGCACTCCTCTCATAAAACCCCAATGTTTTCTCCAGGCAGGACCTGACTGAGTTTCATTTGTGTTGGTGCCTTTAACCCCTAAAGAGCTGCTGCTCTTGCTTTCTCCAGATCTGGGAAATAGGCACGGGTGGGCAGGCTGAACCTGAATCGTGTTTTAGTTGCTCTTCCTTTAGAAAGTGTCACAAACTGCTTGTTTTTAAAAACATTTTAGTAAATGCAGGAGCATTCCAGTACTTCTTCATTGGAAGCTGATGTAATTATTTCAGAAGACGGTTATGAAAATGTCTCCTTCCCTGGAAAGTCAGGAGAATGCCAAGCAGCCACTTGTGAAGTTGTGAACCTGGATTTAAACTAACATATTTGGATAATTTGCATCCTAGAGTTTTAAAAGAGTTGGCTGAGGAACAATTTCTCTTTAACATTGTTTTATAATAACTCATGAAACAGGGAAAGTTCCAGGAGGTAGGAGGAGAGCAAAGGACATGACCTAGGCGTGTATGGCTTAGTCACCTCCGTGTGAACTGTAAGTAAAACACTCGAAAGCCTCTTGAAGAACTTGATTAGGAAGTGTTACTGTTAGTAATGCTGATTAATGTGTATTTGTGGACTCTCCTACTAACTTGATGCCTTTTTTATAGGACTGTAGGGTTGTTTTAATAATATTTTTTTTAATATAATATACTTTGTTAGGCGTAGTACCTCATGATGTTTTGATTTAGGAAGCTCAAACAATACTTCATACAATGCTTGTAAGGGCAGAAGCACTTCTGGTAAGGCATCACACCTCTCAACCCTGTTCCATTTCACATTTTATCAGCAACTTTTGAGAAAACATATAGTTAAGATCATACAGGTTGACAAACAACAAGGAGGGTGTCTCCATGGTCTGGAGCAATCCAGTCATCTGTGCTTTAACTTGGCCCTGTGTCAGCTTCTCCCTCTAAGGACAGGGCCCCCCCTGGGTATGGCATGTTATTCCATCAGTGCTGGAACCACGGAAACCTGGTTTCCTAGAAGTGTGTGTCCTTTCCAACCGCCACGGCAATAATCCCAGCTCTCCCCATCATCCTACCACGTTTCCTAAGACTTCCCACGCTTGTCTGTACCTGAAGTCCTGTCCCCTGACTCAGCGATCCTAATTTCATTTTCTCTGGAAAGCAGGCTCACATAAAGTTCCTGAGCAGCAATAGGTTATTCCATTGGTATATTTGCCCTGACAGAACTGCCAGCTCTTGGCTGATTTCCCCAAGGAAGACACTGATACATCAGAGAAGGTTCACAGAAGAGCTGTTGAAGCGACTAAAGAGAGGAGAAAAGCCTCAAATGGCTTAGCCTAGCTGACAGATGGCTACGGGTGACTGGATCAATAGGGGAGGATATTTAAAGGAATTTAATTATCGAGGGTTCTTCACTCTAGCTATGGGAGACAATCAAAATTTATGGCTGTAAGTTGAAGCTAACACAATTTGTGCTGGAAGTAATGCAGAAGGTTTCAGATGAGACACCTTACGGAAGGTTATAGCGTGCTTATTTTCCATTACCGATTGAAAGGAAGGGCTGTACGTGGAAAAAAAAAAGTTCATTCAGGAAGCTTTAAAGTTGTTTTGACCAGCTATTAGTGTTTCAGTTTGAAACAGGTACTGATGTGGAGTTTGCTGAAAATTGCTCCAGTAATTCCCAGTCTTTGCTAAATTAGGTGAAATGGAAAAGTTGGTCTCCTGCCACGTGACTTCTTTTATTGCTAATTGTGAGGATGAGTTGGTGCATGAGAGACTTTTATCTCAAGGTCACTAGTTAAAGTCCAGCTGAGGCTGAGCGCTTGAAACAACACCATCTGACCGGCATGATGGTCTCCATTGAAATCCCAGAGGTCACTGAAGGCTGACCATTGCGTGGGATTCCCAACAGAAGTAGCAGGGCTTTCTCAACAAGCCGGCTGGCAAGGCGAAGAGGTGAGCATGAAGGCAGATGTATTTTCATCCTATAGCCATGAACCAAATCTCTAATCTGAACGGGGAGTTTATAGGAAGCTTGTGTTTCTACAGCCAAGGCTTTAGGTCCTGTGTCAGTGAGTAGCTGTCAGCTTGACACCTGGCTACAGCATGAAATCAACTTTAAAGTAAGAGTATTTCTGCAGGAGCTAACAGCTTTTACCATTCCAGCGTAGGTGGCCTGGCCTTGCGTATGAAACTTGGTTTAGGAACTGTGAGTGTCTAGAGATAAGGCTTAGGTCTCTCCTGAATTCAGTATTATTTGAATGGTGGGATCTTCTTTTTCACCTAACTTTTCATTCCAGGTCAGGAGGATCTAGGTAACTTTGGAGATCCAACCTTGAGGCCATACTTAAAACTTTTTCTAATGAGCGTGAATTAAGAGGCTGGAAAACACAGACACCTTTCACCTGTGTTCCCATTATTCTGGCACAACTGTTAGGCAACATTTTTGGCAGAAGCATCCTTTTTCCATGTTTAGCCTTTTCCTTTGAGGAACCTCGTTGGAACATACCGTCAGGGGAACTGTAGGAAGGGCTGTATGAGCAATCCTTTTAAACATGGACAAGTCCTGATTCATTGCACATTAGCACTGACCAAAGCATGGGCAGGAAAGATAAAGAGCAGTCATTTCCTATCTCCGAAGGTTTCATATCCTGGTGTTTTTCAGACTCATTATCAGTGACTTGGATATAGTTGCTGCCCAAAGAGATTGTGTAAGAAATAAACTCCTCCTGCCTGGCAGGTGTAGTCACCCTCTCTGGTGGTGCCTGCCGCAGGAGTAGGTTTACACCTCAAGGATTGAGTTTCCTGCTTAGGAATTAAGCTGTGACTGTGAAGCTATCAGATGGGCTTACAGGCTTCTGGTGTGTGGTACACTCAGAGTGGAAATTCAGCGCATACAAGTTGGGCTAAAATATTTATAGCTAAAGCCCTGTTTCACATTTTCCCTTCACATGTGGGTAGCTGCTCTGGGTGCTGACACGTACCAAGATCTCAGCCCCAGCAGAGCATTAGTAGGGATGCTGAGTGCCACTTGATAGCTCGGGGCAGTGATGTAGTTTACGGTGAGCAATGTGGAGAGTTAACAGCATCTTCCCTCTTCCCCCTCTGCCTCCTGCTGCGCTGACACCTCTCCGTCCCTCTGTTGCGCAGGGGGTGCTCAGGGCAGAGTGCATCCCCGCCCTGGGGTGTAACACGGGTGTTTGACACAAGGATTGAACCGCTGCAAGGAGCCAGGAACACGGCGATCAGATAAAACACCGCGGAGCTGCGTGGTCTTTCTGTGGTGCGCGGGGCACGGATTCTCAACAGCTCTCGCTTCCAGTTCTGGGCGTTAGAAGAATGTCCTTCCTTCAACACATCCTGGAGTCCGGGTTGTGTGCTGCTGGGCGGTGCATAGGGATCAAGAGCCTTTGGCCGTAGCAGCCTCGAGGTTACTTTTTAGGCTTTTCGGGAGAAAAACTCTGGGTAGGGTCTTGCTTGTTGGAGTAAGCATGGTAGGCTGCAGGGTGTAACCTTTGCTCCCAAGTTCGCTGAGTGGTTCGTGCCTTGTTACTCAGAGGAGTAAATGCCTTGGACATGACGCCTGTCCAAGTCCTCTGTTCAGCGGCTCCTGCGATGCGAGGCCTGGGTATCAGGGCTGCTGAGCTCCCACTGGCTTTGCAGGGGAGGTGATGGCTCTGGAAACTAGTGCAGTGTGTAAATCACACTTCTGCAGCACTTCTGATGTTTCAGGTGGCAGCCTCTGGATCTGTAACAAGGCCCAAAACTTCTTTTTTTAAGTTGAATTTCTGTACAGATATTATATAAGGAATTAGAAATCCATTTTGCTATCCTAAATGGGAACAATCTGTTTGTTTCGTCAGATTTCTCTTCATTCTCCTGGGACCTAAGGGCAAAGCAAAGTCCTATCATGAGATTGGCCGAGCCATCGCCACTCTGATGTCTGATGAGGTAGGTGTCTTGACATCTCCTGTGTGAAATGGGTTCTTCCAGGTTTCACTTCATTAGCTAATATTGATGCCCTTTCCTCCAGCATGGTCGACTGGAATGGATGCAAATAAAGATGAAATATCCAAATGTCACCTCCATATTCCAGCTGTTTACATAATGATTTAGTCTGCCATCATGTTTTTATAAGAGCACTATAGGAGGTTTTTGTCCATCGTCTGTATTTTCCTGTTAGCTATCCCTATTTCAGATAGGCTTTGAACTAATCTTGTACGATGTTCATCTTGGGTCACATTCCAGGATCACAGTAACCCTCAGCTTCGCTCCAGATAGCAACCACAGGAATAGTTACACCTGGGACATGCTGTTGTGTGTTGCTCTGTGTCCCAGAGCACTTCTTAATTCGAGCAGTGCTTATGTATTATCCGTGAGGAGCTAGCAATTACTCGCTAATCACACACCTCAATGAGATGGTGCCTGTGCTTTCCATTTTCATTTGTGGCTTCTTTCTTCCAGTGTCCCTTGGGCTCTGTGCGTCTGGGGCTGATTTACATCATGTTTGTTTCTTGCTTTCTCCTTATGTTGTTCTGCTCCCCTGTGGTTCCCTTAGTTACCATGTTTCCGGTCTCAGCTCTTCTGTTTTCTGTCATTCCACTGCTTGGAGCAATGGTCTGGTTTCCACAGCCCCACAGTTCTCCTTCCTGCCACTGGCTGGTTTTTCTACGTCTGTCGCACATGCTGATACGCCTTCACTCCAAGTAGTCCAAAAGATTTCTGTAAAATTCAGCATTGTTGCTCTTTTTCCTCTCTTCTCTCATTTGCTCTTCATCACTAATACGAGGCCTTTCAGCAAAACTAGTTTGTGCTTCGTGGTGTTATTTTTGAGTAGATATTTTCATCATTTCTAAGTCACAGGGTTGAAAACTAACCTATTTTTTGGTAGGCTGGAGTAGGTGGGAAAAGAGGATTGACACTTTTTTGTGGCTTTGTAAAAGTGACTTCTCAGAGTATAATTTAATCTCCTGATTTATAGGAAAACGTTTTTGGGGATTAAAGAAATGGATAATTGCTTTGGTAACATTTTTGACAGTGGTTAGAAGTGCACGTTTTGCTAAAAATTATAAATGCCTGCAAGAAAATCTCTGTCATTAAACAACCAGCCAAAGGAAAGGGCTTTCCTGAGGTTCACACACCCTCGTGCCAAGTGCTTTCGTACTTTTTTGACAATGAATCAGTTGGTTTTGTAGAGTAAAACTCAGTAGCTGCCTCTGGAGCCTGGGCTACAGAGAACACAAAGCTTTTCTCTCTTCCTCGCAGGTCTTCCACGACATCGCCTATAAGGCCAAGGACCGGCAGGACCTGATCGCTGGCATCGATGAGTTTCTGGATGAAGTCATTGTGCTCCCCCCTGGGGAATGGGATCCAGCCATTAGGATAGAGCCCCCCAAGTCTCTTCCGTCTTCAGATAAAAGGTAACAGCGGGACACAGGCACGTTTGGCTCTGTCATGGAGGACAGTGTGCATCGATTCCAAAAACGTGACAGGAAGAGCCGCCGCTTTGCGTGCACCAGGTTTATCGAGCAACTGTGGAGTGACCCGCGTCTGTCTGTCTCTGTTTGGAAAGTACTAGAGATATTTTCACATTTGTCTTAACAGCTGGAGGGAGGATGTTCTTGCACTTCTGTACCCTTTAAGGTGCCGTTGTAGGTGCACGATAACATATGTCATGATTATCCAGACTCTGGGGCTCTGCTTGGTCCTTCTAAAATCTAGCTGCTGGCAGGTCAGCCTTCTGGTCTCCTTTACACGGCATGGCTTCAGGAAAGGCCGTGTAACGCTTGTTGGGAGGAACTGTGTGGGTTTTGTTTTGCGGAGCCGTGAGGCAATGCAGTGAGCCTCCGTTTGGCTTGCCTTCTTGTCTAGGAAAAACATGTATGCCGGTGGAGAGAATCTCCAGATGAACGGAGACATGCCTCACGACGGAGGGCACGGTGGCGGGGGCCACGGGGACTGTGAAGAGCTGCAACGAACGGGCAGGTCAGTGCGACGTACCTGCTGTGATCCAAGCAGCGTGGCAATATGTGTCCCTTTCAGAACTGTTTCGCCCTTTCTGCTTTCCATCTCGACATACTGTTTGTATAGGTTAGGATGTGACCCCAAAATGTGTCCTGTGGTGTTTAGTGCCCAGCTTGAGACTGAAGGGTTCTGAACATCCAGCCTCAGCAAATTACAAAGCATCTTAAATGAGGCACTCAAAAATGAAAGAAGGCCCAGGTAGGTGTCTCCGTGCCTGTGAAGGTAGAGGGACTGTAAGGGATGTACACGTGGCAGGTAAAGATACATTTTCCATTCAGATTGCTGGAAGTGCTTTAGCCAAGAGCAGAGATATTCTCTTTTCCAGACATTCCTGTTGCAGTTGAATTGCACAGATGAAGGCTTTTATGGGGTAGAAATACAGAAGGTAACAGAGCCCAAGACCTTGCTCTCTGCTGTATTACTCTGCTTGTGTGCCACGGAAAAGCCCACTAGAGTGCGAATGCCGTTCAGGTGGCCATAAAACAGCGTGCTCAGCATTTCAGGGTCAATACACAGGTTTTCATGGTGGTGGTGTGCCCTCCCTCCCACTCTGTGGGTTTTTTTAGGTTCTAAATTCTAGGAGAAAAGCCTGAAACTCTGCAGTTACACCTTGGTGTGTACAAGGCAGTTCATACGGCCTGATTCCCGGTCAGAAAGTCCTGTATGCCTACCTGCCATGTGCCCCTCTGTGTTCAGAGGGTCTGTACAGTCCTGGTGCTGGTGGTGAACTCTGTGCACGGGAACTGGTGGCAAAACAAAAACATTTTTTTGTGCTGGCAGTGTCAGAGCCACATAGGGTTTATAAGAGTTAAATTCTGTCTTGTCTGTGATTGTACAAAAAGTGTCTGCACGCTGAGCTCTCTTGTTCTCCAAGATGATTTCACTTACTTGCATTTTTACTTCCAGTTCTTTTTCTAGTTAGCAGTTTGAAGCGTTTTTCCATTTAGCAGATTCTTTGGCTCACTCGACCGTTGTGTCTGCCATGTGGAGAAACTTAGGCAGGGATTTAGAGGAGGGTTAATATATTTTATTTCATCAATCAATCTAGCTGGGGAAAAAAAAAAAAAAAAAAAGACAAGCTTCCTGAACTGCAAACCTTTGTGGTCTGTTTCAGCAGAAGAAGAGCTTGTGTTCCTGAAATTTGTCTCTTTGCTGCTGCATCACATATTCAAGATATTATCTTTCTTTACAACATTGTCTCAGTGATAGCGCTGGACCATCCCAGCTGCCATAAGACTATTATATAACATGATGATCTCACTCTTTTCAGATAATACTTAATTTCTGGCAACAGTTCTGAGTACTTACTGTGGTGACTTTCACTGTAAAACATTTTGCACAAGTCTTCCCTTGCTTCTCTTTTCAGATTCTGTGGTGGCTTAATCAAAGACATAAAGAGGAAAGCACCGTTCTTTGCCAGTGACTTCTACGACGCTTTAAATATTCAAGCACTTTCAGCCATTCTTTTCATCTACCTGGCCACGGTGACCAACGCTATCACTTTTGGAGGATTGCTTGGTGATGCTACGGAAAACATGCAGGTTAGCAATTGCTTTCACAAACAACAACTCAGTCATTCGCCTTTTGCTGTGTACAGTCAGCCAGAGGGGCGTTCGGCCACCGATGAAGCTGGAATTCTGGGTACAATTAGTGGGGGCTATCCTTTGTTTCCACTGAAAGTTGGCTGCTTTCTCTGCTGTTGGACCGCTGACCTTTGTAAAACCGTACAAGCGGTTACCTTAAATGGTGTTTGAGAGATGGCCAGGGAACAGAGGGGTCCTTGCTCCTTCTATATAGAGTTCTTCTGGTCTGCTCTCTCGCTTCGTGTCTCGCTTGTACCGTTTCAGTCCAATTAAGTTTACTCAGTCTGATTCAGACTTTCCATGTCATCAGAGCATAGTGCTGTATCCTCTGCATGACTCTAAAAATCCCTGGACTTCTGCCTCTCTGGTGAAAAGAAAATCCCGAGATTGAGAGGAGAGCAAGTGAATTGGGAGATGTGACACAGGAGAAATGCAAGTTCTTTAGAAAGACGGATTTTGTAATAATGGAGTCTCAGATCCTGGGTAGCATACTGCATATCCAGGGACAGACTGGATCAGCGGTAAAGACAAAAGTAGGGGCTTCCAAGGCACGGCTCAGTTTTAGATGAAGTCTAAAAGGAAGGGATTCTGTATTCTGTGGATCGTTCGTGTTTGACCGGAGCAGAATTATGCTCTAGCAGTACACTTTAGTATTCCTTTGGCTTTTTGAAGGGGAAGAAAACATAGGAGATTGTATTTAGGTCAATTCAGTGCAACCACATGCAATGTCCTAAGAATAATTAAGCCCGTCGTGACAATGACTGTGTTATTCATTTATGCAGGTTTAATTAAAGCAAAAATAGAAGAGGGGGGCACCTATCTGGAGCTCTGTGCTTCCCTATCATAAATGACAGGCTAGAGTAAGATTCAGCAGCTTGGTGGAGTGCCAAACTTCCCTCTCCCCCGTACAAATACGCTTTACCTCTTCCAAAACTCAGCTCCACAGCAGTTGTGCAAACAGATGCATGATGCACAACCTTTAAAAGAAATTATAGCACATGGACATAGAGAATGAAAAGCCTCCAGGATCTACCAGTGAGGATCGCTCTGCTGTCACTGAGCAGCAGAGCAGAGTCTGGCTGCTTTGCATCTGTACAAGGTACGATCTTTAAAGTAAGATTTGTTTGGAGTAAGACCCATGCATTTGCTGTCTTGTTATTCTTCCAAGAACCTCATGAACCTTCTCGATGTACTTATTTCTGAGTGTGCAGCCTTCCACTGGTTTAAACTGGTGTTCGTTTGTTGAACACAATGGCATGGTCTCATTTCACCCGAGTATGTCTGAGACCATGAGCTGCAATAAGAGGGGAGCTGCAACAAGGGGGAAAGATACAAGGAAGAGAAAACACAGGTTGTGTTTACACCATGGGTTTCTCTGCAGTAGATAAAATCCAGTCTGAATTTTCCCATTCCTCGGAGAAAAAACCAAAAACTATAGAAAGACAAAAGCTGCAGGAAGAGTCTGCTGTGAGCTCAGTGATTTATTCTCCATGTTGAAAAAGGAAACCGCTGATGCTCTGCAGTTAACATCCCTTTGGTAACAGGGTCGTGCTGCAGCAAATGCAAACACAGTGTAGCAGTGAATGACAAAAACTCCAGGAGCGGCAGAAAGAAGCAACACACGAGTCCTGCCAAATGCTTTGTCCCTTGCTCCTTAGAGGTCTGCTGTCAGGGAGGAGGGAGCTGGGGGTGTAGCCAGAATTGAGGACTGATAGCAAGGAGGGGGGGCTGTGGATGCACTCCCCTGGCTGCTCGCTCCCTGTTGCGGTTTTACCATTAAACTTCAATTCACAAAAGCAGAGCAAAGTGCAGGAAAGTGATCATGGAGCTGCTAGAAAAACCAAATCCCTTCGCTCAGTTTGTAACGTAGCCAAGGCTCAATGTAGGAAAATACTCTCTTGTTATTTTGTAATTTGTGCACTTAAACATTTAGTTCATTCTCACATGCAACAACCAGTTGAAATTGCTGGGTTTTATTTATGTCCTGATTTAAAATTCAAGTACCAACAGTTTTTTTCTGAACAGCTCACTGTGGGTCAGAGGCTTAGAGAGTTTGGCACAACTGGCTTTTCTTTTGCCATCTCCCTTCACCAAATCTTTATTCACCGTCCTCGTTTGCAAAGGCATTAGGTCTCTTGGCTGCTGTGGGAGCTTGGTAAGGTTTTCAGCTGCTAGTTTTCAACAGGAAAGCGAAATTCTGTGTTCTTTATGCCCAAATGCCTCTGTATCCTCAGAGCCACAGTGATGCATCCGAAGGTGCCCGGTTCAAGTTGTTCCTTCAGGGAGCTGCTCGGTGGGATGAGAGTCCAGGTTCACGTCAAGCGTTGCCCAAACCATTGTGATTTCCTGCAATGTGAAAGAGTCAGGAAGCGTGAGTTTCTGTAAGACATCTGAGAGCGTCAGCTGCACCGAATCTTTGTATCCACTAGCCCATCTTCTCCAGGATGTGGTCACATTGGCAGAGCCTCATTAACTCCCAGGTTACGCCAGCTTCTACAGCTGAAGACCAGTGCCTAAAAGTTTTCTCCCCAAACATTTTGTCCTCATAGAAAAAAAAAAGTATTTTGGGGGCTACCACGTCTCAGTTTGTGCTTCTGGTTCCCTGTAAATAATTATGTGGCTGCCACTGGGTCAGGCGCTAAAGGTCACCCGTCCCGCACTGCCTGCCCCAGAGAGCCTGACACGGCCAACTTTTCTTTCAAAGCTTACCTCAGAGTTTTATGTTTCTGAGAAAAGACACTATTCTTAGCTACAGACACGTGGAAGAATGCAGGGAAAAGAGATTCCAGATGCGCTGGCCGCGAGGGCCCCCTGGGTGAGTAAAGCGGGAGGAGCGAAGGGGGATCAGCGGCGTGAATGCCGTTCCTTGCCCTGGGAGCGATTCTCTCGTTCTCGCAAGTCCCCCTAAGGCAAGAAGCAAAAGCTCACAGGTGCCATCCATGCTTTCTGTAAAAACCTGAGCGTCCTTGTGTGAAGGCTATGGCGTAGCAAGATCTCCCTTGTGCCGTTAGTGATGGGTATTGCCAACAGCGCTTAGAAATGGAGGGGACCAAGGATGTCACCTCCTGCCACGGCGAGGTTGTTCGTGTCCACTCTACAGCAGCTTGTCTGGATTGGCGAGTGTCAGGAACAGGCGGCTTTAAACCTTCCTCAGCTTTTGCTGCTCTGCACAGCTGTTGTGCTGATGCTTTAATTACCCAGCAATAGGAGTGCTTGGCCACTGGTATTTTGAGGTCATGTTTGTGGCCAGAAAAATAGTTTATGATGGCTTTAGAGAAAGTTCCGCTAGTAATTTAGTAGATAATAAAGATGTTCTGCTCTATGTCTAGCATCGTGGTTTGACATATGACAGTGTGAACATAGTTTCCTCAGTGTAAATAGGAACTTGGCTCTTTCCAAGAAAGAGAGCCACAAAACTTAATTTAAATTCTTTTTGTTACCACTGATAAGCCAGAAAAACTGCAACCCCAACCCTGCAGCTTGTCATGGATAGAAGGAAGGCTCTGCTCGTGCCGTTAATTAGTGGTTGCTCAGCACATGAGGCATTACTGAGGCTGCCGACTCAGGCACAGCTCCAGCAACGCATGTAAGCCTGTGCTTGGACCTGCCCCAGTTGGTGGGCGAGTGCTCCTGGAGAGGGTGATGCTGGCGGCTGTGCATCTTGTCCAGTAGAAGATGATGCTCTTGGTGTTCCTTTAAAACTCAGTCAAGTGTAAAGAGATCAGTTTGCATAAGAGCAAATGAGGTAAGATCCAGCTAATTCCGCCAGTTTTGTAGAAGGCTGCGTACCCAGTCGGTCATCACGTTTCATTGGCAAGAAACTGTGCCATTGATATGGCATCCGTGTTTGGCATTTTAGCAGTAGATACTGTCCAGCCATAGTTTACGTGAAAATACAAGAATCCATCAGGCATGGTATTTTATCATTCTCCAGTGAAGCGGTTTTGCCACGCATGCCGAAGGTAATTGTAGAGCCCATTAAATATGGAATTAATTACTTGCTGGTGCCATCTGAGGAACTTGGATCTCAACACATGACTGCTGGATGAAGTAGCCTTGTTTGGTTCTGTCTCACTTACTGAAACAGTTACTTAAAATGGAGGCATCGTGTTTATCTGGAGTATCTGCTCAGCTGGAGGGAGGACAAACCCCATACTCCGTTGCTGTGGAGGGTGCCAGCGCTGTCCTCCAGCTGTGCTCTGCCATTTCTGTTCGAAGGGCCCCGCCAACGTGAATCCTTACTGGCAGAGATGTGGGTGATCTTCAGAGAGTTCTCAACACCTCTAAATGCTCTTTGAAAACACTCGCCTCCCCTTGTCAAATAGGAAATACAATGTGGTGTTACTCAGCTCTGGGCCGCAGAGGTAACTGGGGGGTTTGCTGGGCAGAAGATGTTCTCCCCTTAGTCTTGGGCATCCTGGTGTACAGCATGTAACCAGTCACTGATGTCACTACTCGTTTTCTCGCAACGGTGCAAACAGAAAGGGCTGTTCAGCAGAACTAACATCTCTCCTCTGTCTACCGTAGGGCGTGTTGGAGAGCTTTCTGGGCACGGCAGTCACTGGCGCGATATTTTGCCTTTTTGCTGGTCAGCCACTTACAATTTTGAGCAGCACAGGACCTGTCCTGGTCTTTGAACGGCTTCTCTTTAATTTCAGCAAGTAAGTAAAAGGGCGGAGGAGGGAAGAGGGGAGGAATGTCTCACACTAGTAACATCCTGGCTAGGGAATGAGGTGGCTGGCGGTGGGGAAGGAGGGGATTTAGCGCATTAAATGAAACATCTATTTGTTCCTTGTTGAGACTGCAGTGCAGTCACGTCTGGGATTGTCACAGGCACGCGTGTCCCAGAGCACTGCCTGCTGTGCGGATGCGTATCTCCTCGGGGCCTCTTGGAAATTCTTGGCCAAGTCTGTCCTCGATGAGAGGTTTGCACTACAGTGTGCTGTTCCTCCCCAGCTGCTGCAGAGGTTTCCCCAGCTGCTGTGTGTGTCCTGTAGGAGCAAAGACAGAAATCCAGCTCTCGGTGATTTCACTAACAAAACACCACAGATCTCAAGGTTACAAAAAAATTTGTCCTTAAATCAGTACTGGTTTTGTTTTTTTTTTTTCATTTGAAATCACTATTGTTTATAAAAGCAGAAGTAGCTATGGTAGGAACAACTGTCTGTTTCTGTTTGTCCCCCAGATTCTTCGGTGGATCTTCGCTGCATTAAATGCTCTTGGGTTTTTTTAATTTTAACTGCTGTAAGGAGGTTCTGCTCCCTCCCCACCACATTAGCATTGAGGCAGTGATGAGAGCTGAAACCAGGAGCTAAAGGGAGCCCATTTTGCTGGGTGTTCTCCTTTACTGCAATGCTGTCAAAATACAAGGAGGGTCACTAGAGGAGTTGGCGTATTCACTGATGATGTTGTGTGTGCATTCACTGATCTGGTCACTGATGATGTTACATGTAGGACTACTGATGCTTTGGATGGTGTTTTGCAAGGAGTTCATTTCAGGTTGTACAGAAATTGCCCCGATCACATGTGGCGCTCCGTTCCCCCATCAGGGAGCGTTCACAGCACTGCACGTTGTGAGAGGTTTGTATTTTAGGAGACAAAACCAAGAGCTTTTGGATTTAAGGCGTTGCTGGGCGTTCTTTTAAAAGCAGTTGCCTGTGATGTGGAACAGCTCTTTGGCCGTTTGTGGTTATATTTAGAAAAGGTCTATTGAATTATTAAGCTGAACTTGGCTGCGGGTTGCAATAAGGCAGGAGACACAGTCTGTATGTTTGGTGGTTTAATTGTATCTCCTTCCTCATTATATTTAATCTCGGTGGGTAGTTACTCAGAAATAATTGAGAGCATATAATCACATCTTGCCTGTGAATACCTGACGTGTTGCAGAAGTCGTTTGAGGTAGCGCTTCTGCGAGGCAGATGGTGTATTTTCACATGATCCCACCTACAGACTGCTACCCTGGACTCTCCTGGAGTGAGGTGATTTTGTCTGGTTCCCTAAATCACTTCATAACATCGCAAGTAGCGCAGAGCTGGATGAAACGGGCAGGCTTCGGTTCTCGCGCTGCCTTGTCAAAGCTGGTGGTATTTTATAATCAGTGCTGCTGGGTTTGAAGCCTGAACAGCCCCGCACCACGCTCCCGTTGCTGTTACACAGAGCCGTATTCATGCCAAGCCAGGGAGAAGTTCAGCTTGGAGTTGGGGATGCCACGGAGAGGCTTCCTGCGCCTTACAATGCCATGTGGTCCCCTCCTGCCTGGCCCTGGGACCGCCGCTCTCCTCCGCACCGTCTGCACAATCCTGCCTAACAGGGGCAGAGGAGATGGACGTAAACCTGGCTCTTCCCCCCTGCAGGGAGGGATGGAGCCTAGAAAAAATGGACAGAAAATGACTCTAGCCTAGGGAGGGAAACTGGGAGCTGCTGACTGGTGAGAGCTCCGCAGCAGCACGAGAGAGGGGCACCTTTGTTTTCTTTCTTCAACTAGAACGAATAAAATCAGGAATAGATGAGCTATAGCTGTTTGCATCTGGCGGGCAGGTCAAAGCACAGGTGCAGCACATGGAAGGAAAACAGCAAGATGGAAAAATACTGTCTACAGTTTTGGGAAGGAGAAGGGGGTTATTTTTAACCCGAGGAGGAGGTGGCGGTTATGAAAGCTATTGTCCTAACAACCTGCTGGAGCAGAATGGCAGGATTTTTTTGAGAGAGTCTTTTTCACAAGGAAATTGGAATCAAATACTGTGATTTTTCAATAATGCCTTTGTGGTTGTTCATATTCACAACACCCTGTTCCCTGCTGGGAGCAAAATTAGAAAAACTTCCCATCTACTGATTCATACCCAACCGTGCATCTAGCTTCGGGTGCCTGCAGGAGCAGCAGTCACCGCCTTGCTGGCAGAGCGGGTCGGTGCTACGGGACACCCTGGGTCAACTCATGTTCCCATGCAGAGTCTCTGCAGTGCCCATTGTGAGATGAGTTTGGGTCTCCGAGCTGGAAGCGATGGCAAGGGAGGCACTGGGCTCCCCTGGAAAGCAAGACCCCAGCCCTCCTGTCTTCCAGCTGCAAAACTGAGCTGTCAGGAAAGTTTCACTTCCTGAGACCTCAGAAAGAAAGTTAATCACAGCAAAAGTATTTAGCCTGTTGTATTGTGTATGCAAACTGTCCTCTGCTTTTTCGTTTGCTCTGTGAGCTTCAGAAGTGCTGCAGGAGCTTGAGGGGGTAAAAAAAAAAAAAAGAAACAGAACGTTGTTTAAAACCTTTTGAACTTGTTCAGTGGTGTGCAGTCAGGATGCCATCTGGGCTTCTGCCAGCTGTCTTCTCCGCACTCAGTTGGATGGATGGCAGCTCCTTCTCTCGAGGCGCTGACTCCGGATGTTTCAGAGAGCTGTCACCAGGGTCTTTTATTATTTTTTTTCCTCTTCTCTTTTTCTAAATCGTCACTTGTTTCTTCCTTGCCCCTTACCCTTCTTCAAGGTCAGGCTCTCAGTGTGAGAAGGCTGTGGTTACTGGTGCAGCCTGCATTCCCAAGGTGTCTCAAAGACAGCTTTTGCTGGTTTTTATTTAGAGGCAGGCTCACAAGGAGGAGGGCATTCAGTTTTTCCTAGAACACTTGATGTAGTTGGGGGAAAGAAGGGATAAACTCCTGGGCTCCGTCCCAGTACCCTCCCCAGACTTTTCTGATGCTGTTAGAGACTTTGCTCGGAGGTTTTCCCCAGAAACTGCCCTTCCTCCTCCGTCCTTCAGCGCTGCAGCCTGCTGGGGTAGGGCTCCTGGCTTCCAGGGAAGACCAGCTAGCAGGGGCTGCCGGCCCCGCTGCCTCCCGCTCCCTGCCCCAGAACAGGCAGTAACCTCCCTGGCAGGGCCTTCTCTGCTCTGCTGTTCTGCTTTCACATTTGTTCAGTCCTAAAAGGTTGCCTTTGGACTCTGTGCTGTCAGGGCAGGGCAGTCTCAAGCAGCAAACAAGGGGCAAACAAACTTTCCAGGAAGAAACGATGTGGTTCACTCCATCGTTCTCCACAGCCTGCCATGTCCTGGCACCAGGGTTTGTTGTCTTCTGGTTTGTGCTTCTTTATCTTCTCCTGCTGATATTTTGATTTCTGCAGATAGTGCAAGATAGAGACGTGGAAATGCAGGCTCCTGAGTGTGCAGCTTGGCAGGAAATTGCTTTTCTAAAGGAGATGTGTAAGCTGTGCTTCCATCGTCAGCTGATGGAAAGCTGTCTGTGTTGAGCTGCTCTTGGTGTGGACAGCTGGGTGCTTGGTCCTTTCCAGCTCTGTGCGTGCTTGCCAAGGGAGGATTTTTACTGGGAAGCCTAGAAAGAGCTTGAATTCACTGGTAACTTTTATTAGTGGAGGCATAAGCAAGACCAATCACTTCTGCATGCTTTTCTGCCACCTCGGCTGTTAAACTGCACCACCTACGTTTCTGGAGGTGGTTGGGTGAAAACAGAGCTTAGCAGGTGGGAACACTCTCATTGAGTCGAAACTAGCACAGGTCCCAGAGGCTGGGTGTTCACCACTTCTCGCTGGGAAGTCATGATCCTGTATGGATGTATCTAACCCCTGCTCTTTTCCCTTTCTGCCACCCCTGTCTTGTTGCAGAGACCATGGCTTTGACTACCTGGAGTTTCGTCTCTGGATCGGCCTTTGGTCAGCCTTCCAGTGTCTCGTCCTCGTCGCTACTGATGCCAGCTTCCTGGTCAAGTACTTCACCCGCTTCACCGAAGAAGGTTTTTCCTCCCTTATTAGCTTCATCTTCATTTACGATGCTTTTAAGAAGATGATCAAGCTGGCAGATCATTACCCGATCAACTCCGAGTTCAAGGTGGACTATATCACGCATTACTCTTGTGCCTGTGAACCATTAGATCCAGGTAAGAGAACGTTTTATTAGCTCTCCAGTTTGCAGGCGGGAAATTGCATTTGTTTTACTTTTCTACTGGGCTGCAGCCCAGACAATAAATGGGTAGATTAATCCTTCTTTATCAGTTTTCTTCACATATTCTATCTGAGCCTTATTTTGAAGCTGAAGAGTGAATTTCACCCTAAGTGCCACCTGGAATGTCTTTCTAGCTGGACTTGCTGGGACTCCTCATGAGAGCATCCTTACCAGTGGAGGCACTGTCTCTGTACCCTTGTCTCCTTGCATCCCTGTGGCTATTAATTCTGAACGGCATTTCTCTGAGGCCAAGAAGGGGCAGAGACGGTGGCTGGGTCACTGCCATGGTGCTTTCGTCACTCCTGGTATCCGCTGTGCCGTTCTATCCAGCACAGGAGCCGGATTTGTTCAGGGCGTTACACAAGCATGGGTGGTTTTGCACCTCCTGCCTGCGTGTACGAGTGGAAAAGCACAAGCAATTCCAGCAGCTCAGCCTGTCGCTAGAGCGTGGGCTGCAAGGCAAGTGTAGCCAGCGTGCGTATAGATCTGGCAACAAAACCAGGAAAAAGGGCTACAAACCCCAACTACAAACAAAAGTACACTGGCTCGTAGCGTTAGGGAAGCTGTGACCACTCCTAGGACCCTTCAAACAATGAGGACTGAGTAAGAAACTTGGTTTGAGCTCAAAGTAAACGTGAGGTTATCTCGCCATACCTGTCAAACAGGAAAAGCTGCTGTTTGCTGCTACACCTGTGTGCAAAAGGTATCAGGAACTGGGTTCATCGGAACTGTGTGCTTACGTTAGTTATTACCCGCAGGACCTCTGCAGGCACTTGGAAGTTGGCCGGGTTCTGTTTCCCTTTGAACAGCAGGGTGCTGTTTGCTCTTGCGGTGACCAAGAGTTGGGGTGGTGGGGTACGGTCTTGGATGTCTCTCTTTAACAGGGCATCGCCGAAATAAAAGTCTCCACTTGCCATCTAAACGCCTGTTCATCAGTGCTCAGGGCGAATGCGGTGGTACCGCTGGAATGCGTAGAGGAAACTGAGCACGTGGCAGAAGCCTGCACATTACTTTGTAAGAGATTTGGGCCTGGAAACACAATGCCGGTCTCTACCTTTGTTAAAATGCATGGTTTGATAAAGCTCACAAACCCTTCCTGCCGTGGGTCTCTTCATCTGATCTGCCTCTTGGTTGGATGTTTCAGAGGGTAAAGATGGGAAAGGAGTTGCCGAAGTTGAGGGGAAGACTGGAAACGGCAAACTGTCTGGGAACGGAGCAGCTAACAGAGTGATCCCGTGTTTAAACTCAGCCCAGGACAAGTTCAAAAAACTAATTTGAGGCGTGTGTGTGTAAAGCAAGTGTCAGGGTTACAGTGTGCACAGGGCTGGCAGCACTAGCCGGGTCCTTTGGCTGTTCTCATCCCTTCCTTGGTGGCATGTCTGTCCATGGTGGATTTGATGCACAGTAGCAAGGAATTTTCCAGAGGAACAAGTGGCCTGTTAGATGGCTGCCAGCATGTCAGCCTCGCTGCTGACAGTTTGGTCTTTCACGGGGCTGAAGCACCCTGATGCATGTGTGTGTCTGACAGCATCCACAAGCAAAACACAGCGCAGATTTAATTCTTGCTCCTTCAATAAACAGGTCTCCACATCGGCTGCTGATCTCAGCTACAGAGGAGATGTTCTCTCTTAGCACGCAACAGTAGATCAGTGGCAAAGCAGCGAACAGCAGCCAGGACAGGGGCTAAACCAACCACTTTCACCAAGGGGCTCTGTGTGCCTGTTGCTGGTGCCTGTATGGAGGCTCTTCGCCTTTCCTTAGGGCTTGAAGGAAGACATCCCGCAGGACCTTCAAACAATGCCTTTGAAATCGCCGACAGGATGTGTGTACACCCTGGCAATTTACTCAGTGTGGCACACGGCGAATCCCCTGTGATCCCCGCGCCTCCTCGCACCTGTGTCTCTGAGCAAACACGCTCTGTTTTCTAATAGGGCAAGAAGTTAGAATGCAACACCAGCACCCAAACCCACGCTCCGTCCGCGTTCAGGAGAGACAGCATCCCCGCGCCGGTGCTGCCCTGGGGCTAAGGAGCAGGCTGCCCGCTTGGGATGCTCCGGCATTCCCATACTTGCCCTTTCTGAGGCATCGCGAGGAAGAGGCTGGCAGCAAGATCTGCAATAATGCTTCAGGGCACGGCAAAATCCATGGCCTGGGGAAGATTGCCTACATATAAAAATGTCCTGCGACTTCTTCTTTGGACTCTAGGATGATTTCAATAGTAAAAAAGACAAACGCGCTTCTTCTTTCTCCAGCTAAGCAATTGTGACCTATGCAATATTTTAATACAGCTTCAATATTCTTACAGGACATAGAAGTACCTTCAATACCTAATTAAAATGTGAGGATGTAGTTGACAGGCCTCTTTTCAGGAGAGATTGCATTTCTACATGAAATTTAAACTAAATTATTTCTAATCCCATGAAAACAAAAGGAATACATCTATCATTGTCAGAGTGAATGCTGCCCCTTTTTTAAGAGAAATTGTCTCCAACGTGTGGATTTCAATTACTCTCTATTTTTTTTTAACTCAAAAAATGTGTTTGTGCTGGGTTCTGAGGTGCATTTTACTTTTCTGGATATCTTTGGAGATGTGCGTTAACATCAAATTAATAATCATGAGAGGTTTGTGGATATTTTAGTTCAGAAATCTTTAGAAAAATATTTTAAACTAATGAAATATTATACTCTCTGTCTTTCTATTTTATTTTTATTACAATGAACTTAAAAAAAAAAAACAGTTAAATTTGCATGATGTTTCACGTATCCTTTTTTTTTCCCTTTTTGAAGTGATTGATGATGAATGCTTTTGAGTCAGTTGAGCAAAAAGATTGCAAACAGTTTGATGGTTTTTTTTTTTTTTTTTTTTTTTACAAAGATGGAGTAACAAACGATTTAACAGCTGCAATTTGCTTTCCTTCCTAGCTGTTTCGGCACCATGCTCACAGTGTTCCTTTTTGTGTCCTCTCTTGCAGTGAATAGCTCGTTATTTAACGGGACAACGGTACCGTCAGCCGATGAGCTGTTCTATTCCTCTGCGGAGACGGTAAGTGCCCTTTGCAAGCGCAGGGATTATATGGTCTCTGAAGTTTTGAAGTGCCACATGTTTCTGCTGGGCCGTGCCAATAGATCAGTAATTGATCAGATGAAGAAAATCCTCACGCTGAAACTCCCCCATTGCCCGTGACACAGGGAAAATGTGCTTTTTGGCGTGCTCACTTGACCCTCCAAGGGTTTCTCAAAACACAGTTTGATAACGTGAGTATCGAAACACAGAATAACAACTTTCTGAGGAGCGCAGATCATACCTGTCTGTGTTTCTTTGACGTGGTGGCCACTTTTGTGTGGCATCCCGTGGCCCAGCAGAAAGGGAGCAGTTTCTGAGCTGACTCCGGGCACGAGGGAGTGCGAGAGACAAACTTGAAGGCAAGGGTGTTGCTCAGGGTCCCCGGAGGAGTCGGTCACGGGGCGCAGAAACAGAAGCGAGGTCTCCTGCTGGCCAGGCTGCACCCTGTGTGCTCTTCGCTGCTCCCTGCCTTCTTCTCTGCCCCACCTCCGTCAGCTGCCTGCACTCCCTGAGCATCCGAGTCGGCTCCCTCGGACAGGGCTGAAAACGAGGGTCTCCTTGTTCCGCTGCCCGTCACAGAGAATAGCACGCAGGGAGGTGATGAGCAGCCCCAAGCTCCGATACGACACCAGTCAGGAGCTTCCACTTCTGTTTCCTTAGCAAGAACAACTCTCCGTGGGTTTGGTGGGTTTAGCATTTGGTTGCCAGTCTCGGGAGAGGGGGAGCCATGTGTAAGAGGAAGGCAGAGAACTGAGCTGAGCTCTGGAGACATGAAAACAACCCAACAGGTTACATTTCCAGGCTGTGCTTTCTTGGAACAGCAATCTCAGCCCTCCTCCCCCAAACCCCTGATGTGCAGCACCCGCCCTGCAGGGTGGTGGGGCTGGAGGGGGCTCCCGTCACACCGGGCTGTGTCTCTCTGCCTGATTTTGGGAAGAGCCAGGGGGCCATGCTGCCAACCCAGGATGCTCTGCCTTAGCCACGGTCTCTGCTCCAGGCTCCTCTTTGGATGCCTTCTAGTTTCAAAGCACAACCAACGTGTGTGAAATGCACCCCTGGATCTTCGGTGTTTTCTTCCTCTCCCTCCTCTGAAAGCCCCGTTTGCTCTCCCCTCTGTCACCACCCTGCAGCTGGCAGTCAGGGCAGATCTGCAGGAATCCTGTCGATGAGGGAGGAGAGAGCCAGTGCTGAGAGTGCAAATGTAGCAGCACTTGGTCAAACAGCGACTCATAACTGGCTTTCTGTTGGGTTTTTTCCCCCCACTGCCATCAGTGTCAGCAAAATCATGCCTCAGTTCTGCTCTGAGGCTGAACAACACTGGCTGAGGAAGCTGCAGTTTGTTACGTGCAGCTTCAGACTACAATTGGATCAGCGTGCAGTGTTGGGAGGCATATGAGATGTATTTTTCAATGTACACATGTGAACAAGGTATTATTAAATTTAACATGAGGCCATGAACCTTTTGCTTTCAGAGAGTACCTTAAATATTTTCAACATTTCTAATATAAGCTTGGGTTTTTTTCTACTTGAAAATCTCACTTATAATATTTTGAGCTTTGTACTTTTGCCTAAAGAACATCCTTTTTGTAGTAAATGGCTTGTTGGTCTGAATTAGTCTGTGCTCACATTTGTGATAAGTTCTCTATAACTTAAATATTCGGAGTAAAATTCTCTTTCCTCTCTATGGATTTATCCATTTTGAGTATTTAAAAATATTCTTTCTCTCTGGTGGGGTTTGCACGCAGAAAGGGAGGAGCAGAGACATTTTGATTCTGAAACTTCTCAGACTGTCAGAAGTTTGTAGGTACCTGAAATTCCTTTAAACTTTTCTTGGTATTAACATACCCTCTCTGCATTACCAGTGTCCCCCGGCCAGCGCGCTCTGTGCATTCCTGGAATAGCCTCACGAGCTCGCTGCTATCTGCACGTTTATGCTCTTGGCCCCTCGTGCGTTTGGATTTGTTCTGTCCCCATCCCTGCGCTGACGTGGTTGTGAATTATGCAGGCGCAGGGAGGGGAAGAGCCACTTCCCTGGGCTCTGCTCCATCACCGGTGTCAGGAAACGGGTGATCAACTAGTGTGTCCTGGATTCCTCAAGGAGAGTTCAAATCCAAATGGTGCCTCCCTATCTGGCCATTGCCATCAGTCATCGTTAGTAACGAGGCATTCACATCAGAACAGAAGCAATTGAAGGAAATTCCCACGCAGGTTCTTATTTGGCAAGGCTGTGAGGAAGAGCCCCTTGGCTCTTGCTGAAATCAGTGGCAACAGTTGTGTTTGTGGGTGTCACGTTAGGTGCCAGCAGGCGAGCTGGGGCCATAGGACACATCTGGAGCTACGGGCACTTGCTGGCAGCTCAGCCCAGACCTGCGGTGCTGCTGTGGTGCCATGGGGAGGGCAGGCAGGTGGGGATGTGCTGTGTCGGGGGGGATGGCAGAGAACCTGAACCTCAGCATCCTTCTGGCTGCTTCGCTGTGAAACAGAGGGGGCTTGGTAACTCCAGTCGTGGGGAAGAGCCAGGGGAGTGGGTGCAGAGGTGGTCTTGGGCCACTCCAGCTTCTGTATGGTGTTCCCAGGTGATACCATCCTCTGTCCGAGTTAAAAGCTGTTCTGTCTGTGCGCAAGCACAGGGATTTTCAGTCTCCCCTCCACGCCTCCCTATTCCTCCCAGTATTTTTCCCGATGCTTTGTCCCCATTCCTGTCCCAGCCTGAGCAGTGCTGACATGAGCAGGGCTTCATGGCAATGTTCTCTTTTTTTTCTGCAGGACAACACCACCATTGACTGGTCATCTCTGACAACGAAGGAGTGCTTGAAATACGGAGGACAACTTGTGGGCAACAACTGTGGCTATGTCCCTGACATTACCCTCATGTCTTTCATCCTCTTTTTTGGCACTTACACCTGCTCCATGGCCCTGAAGAAATTCAAGACCAGTCGCTATTTTCCAACCACTGTAAGTATCTCCTTTCATCCTAACACTTTGTTTCTTTGCTCTTTCAGAGCACAAAGATAAGCCTTCCTTTTGGTATAGCTGCCATACAGACAGGGACGAGCGCTTTGCAGGGAGGGCAGATTGCATTTGGTGAAAAAACATGGTACTGGTTAACCAAGGTATGTCTTGGGATTGCTTAGCTTTCACTCCTTCCGTATTTCTGGAGGGCATGGGTAAGGCAGCAGAAGAGCCAAAATGAGCCCTCGTCTGTCGTGGGGGTGCAGCAGGGATTTTACAGGTACTGAAGGCAACACTTCCAAGCTGAGATACACAATAATATAGTTTATCAACCTTAAGAAGTCACAAGAGTCCTTCAGGCATATATAATTTCAGCTGGCCATTTTCAGGGTGACACACAGCTTCATGTGACACGCTGACTCTGGGGTAGGATTCTGGTTTTACAGAGATCAAATGACCAAAAGGGGCTATCAAATCCTTATGTCACAGTCTCCCTGCTTATAGCCAGGAGGAGTATTAGGGGGGGACTAAAGGAGCCCTTTGCTCCGTCACTGAGTAAAAGTGGGTAAGCGAGCTGTCCATATAGAGCAGTTACCACGTGGCTTGGGCAATGCTCAGAAATCAATGCAAAAACGTTGAACTCTGCTACAGTCCACGTCTGGTCTACCTGTTACGGTGGGGACCTAAAGCTGAAATCCCCTTTTGTCCCTGAGGATAAGGTGCAAAATACGGATGACCTGGAAAAGCTCTGCATTGATTTAAACAAGGGTTTGCTCAGACTCACAGCCAGCTTGTCTGCGTCTCTCAGGTGCGTCTGCTTGTCTCCCCAGCTAAAGCTCCCCTGACACGCATGCGAGCTGGCAGTTTCCGTGTGTAACAAAGCCAGGTTTTTCCCTGCGACCTGCCTCCCTGCCCCCCATTTTTGGCATTCTGACCCATGGGGATTTATCCTGCATGGATGTTTACTGTTCTGCTGTCTTACAATTGAACCTCTATTATTTTTAATAAAAAGGAAACAAATTCCATCCAGGCTGGAATGCAGCTCAATTTATCTGTAACCATGTGAACCGGGGAAACCTGGAAGGAACAACAGCTCTGAAAAGATCACACAGACAAGCACGGTGGGTCCTGCCCAGTTAAATTTCAGGGCTTGACCAGTGTCAGCTTTAGCTTGTTGTATTCCAATGACTTCAGTAGAGTTGTGTTCTTCAGCACATGTTGAGGATTTAACTAAGAAGCCTAGTTTCTTCTCCTGTCTGTTTAGTTTGTTTTATTACTTGAACAAAAACCAACATAATCTCCTCCACTCATACAGAACATCTCATCTGTTGTGGAAGTTTGGGTCTACCCAGGCCCCTGAGCTGGAAGACAGGGAGCAGAGTGAATAATCCAAGGGGAAATGGTTAGCAAGCTGCTACGTCACTTAGACGCGCACAGGTCTATGAGGCTGGATGGTATCCACCCAAGGGTTCTGATGGAGCTGGTGGAAGTGCTCACCAAGCCTCTTTCAATGACTTACCAGCAGTCCTGGGTAACTGGGGAGGTCCCAGTTGACTGGAGGTTAGCAAGTGTGAATCTGTGATTCTCATCTTCTAAAGGGAAGTTCATGACTATTTTCATTGTCTGGTGTAAAATACCCTTTCTTCCCTTCCCTATTTGTTTTTTTTTATCAGCATTGCAAAATCAGTCATATGAAAAGACTGGAGTCTGGGGATAACACAGTATTTTTTTAAAAGCCACATGCCTTACAAATCCTGTAAGATTTTTACAAATCCTGTAAGATTTGACTTGTGTCAAAAAAGCAGTCTCTGGCCCTGCATAGAAAAACACGAATATGTGAACCCTAAAGAATCAGAGATCAGAAGGCAAACAGGTGGAGTCAGTATTTTATATGTCTAAAAAAGTCACTGTTTTTATAGGTTCATTTGTAAATGTTCAATGTCTGTTAACATTGGAAGCTGAGCCTGAGAAGTCTCTTCAGACCCTGCTGCAGAGGAACTAGGTCTCCATACGAGTGGTTGTTGGCTGCTGTTGAATGTAATATCAGCGAGCCTGCCTCGAAGGATTCGTATGGGAGTTTCTTACAAAAGCAGTTTTATTTTTCGTTAGGCTTGTTTTCGTACTTCCCTTTAGGCTTAGTTGTTTGGCTTTCAGACAGTGCAATAAAGTACCAAGGCACGTTCGGGAAAATGGCATCAGACGTTACAATGCGCACCTTCGTTTCTACAAAAGAATAAATTATTAGCTTGTCTTGCCACTGAACGCAAGGCTGGAGTATCACCTGGAACCTAAAGCCTGGGTGAAGTGGTGTTTCAGAGCGCTAACCACTGTTACGATATCAACTTCTGTTTCAGGCCCGGAAGCTCATCAGTGACTTTGCCATTATCTTGTCCATTTTGATTTTCTGTGGAATAGATGCCCTGGTAGGTGTGGACACACCAAAACTAATTGTGCCAAGTGAGTTCAAGGTAGGTCCTTGTCAGCTTGTTCTGTGGTTTGTGGAGTCGGTTCCCTTTTCCACCCCTCTGCCCTGTGTAAAATGACTTTCCCTCAAAACAGGAAAGCAGTCAGCTATCTGGAAAAGACTGCTTTAAGCAGGTGATACCCTTTTTATTAGCATCATTTTACTGGCTGATTTATCTCCTAAATTCTTCCTCTGTAGGCCCAGCTTCTCCCACCTCCTTTGGGTGGTGCAGGCTCTTGCACCCAGGCTCACATGAGCTGGGCTGTGTGCTCGGTCACCCCAGGGGCCACACGTTCCCTTGTTCAGGTCCTTGGAAGCACTTCAAGAAGCTGCTCAAGGGTGCTTGCCAGCAAGCCTCTCACAGGCCTCCTTGTGTCCTTGTTGCCATCAGCTTGCAAAAGCTAATCCACAATAAGCAATGGTTAATTTGGAAGAACCTTTTCTTGCTGTTTATGGGAAGGATGAAGTTGTCACAAACCTCCCAAGTGTCTCCCTGTAGCCATTCAATGGAAGGAAAAGCCCGGTTGCTGGAAGTACAAGTGTGTTTAGAACACCATCGCCTCTTGTATTGCGCACAAACCTCCCAAGTGTCTCCCTGTAGCCATTCAATGGAAGGAAAAGCCCGGTTGCTGGAAGTACAACTGTGTTTAGAACGTCATCGCTCCTGTATTGCGGCTCTAACTCAAGCTTTCCTTCCCTTGTCCTTAAAAGCCAACCAGTCCCGAGAGGGGTTGGTTCATCCCACCTTTTGGAGGGAACCCGTGGTGGGTGTACCTGGCAGCAGCCATCCCTGCACTGCTGGTGACGATCCTCATCTTCATGGACCAGCAAATCACAGCCGTCATCGTCAACAGGAAGGAGCACAAGCTCAAGGTGGGTGTGCGTTGTGTCTTGCACGTGTGCAAAGAGCTGCTCGGTGCCTCTTCTGTGCTAGAGGTGGAGGAGAGCCTGTGGCAGTGCCGAACACACGTGCCACCTCAGAAACGTTATTGCTGTTGTTCAACGTCAATATGTATTTTGTTGACTAACGCAGAGTTTTTGACCGGAAAACCATTGATTGATTTTAAAACCTCGAGTGTTGCGCAAACAGCATTTGCCTTTCTCCTACAGCGAGAACCCTGTGCGGGGCCAACTCATGGTGTCTTGTTCAGGAAGCGTTTATTGATTTTGATTGGCTTCACCGTCGTGTGGCCTGAAGCGTTCCCATGTCGAGAAGCTTTGGGACTGCTCCACCTGCTTCCTTCACAAACAGGTCCCATGCCAGGAGTAGTTGGATTTCGCAAAACCAGCCACCTACCGCTTCCCTTCTAGGTGGGGGAAAGGGCTTAGACCCATCATGTCCTACCTGACCCCAGAGCTGCCGTTTGCCTTGGTAATTCTGCAAGACTTTGCATTTGAAGAATTAGAAAAGCAAAGAGTGTGTGCATCTAGCCGTTTGCCTTGGTAATTCTGCAAGACTTTGCGTTTGAAGAATTAGAAGAGCAAAGAGTGTGTACGTCTCACCACAAACAGAGTTCTGTGCTTGTCCACTTCGCTTGCCCACCTGGCATGCTCTGCTTTTCCAGTAGGAGATGAAAAATTATTAAATTAAATGACACCGTAAGGGGATGCTGTGTGTATCGGGTGAGTCAGCACAGAAAGGTGACCAGTGTGGGGCTACCAGGTCAGGATCAGCAGAAAGCCTTTGGAGGGAGGGCGTTGCAGCAGGAGCCATGCCCATAACCTGGAGAAGGAGCTGGGTGGGCAGGTTTTCCTGCCCTGCCTGGGGAATGCCATGAACCCTGGCACGGGGCTGTGTGTGAGGAAGTTTGAAGTTCAGCAAGGATGTTTGCCACGGTTTTACAGCTGACTGATATCCTTATGCATCCTCTTCTGTCACCACGTCAGGTAGGAAGAGGGGGAGAGTTAACTGTGGAGTAAATGAACCGACGTGTGTGGATCTGCAGCGAGTGCCTGTTTTTAGGAGCTGCGTTATTGCATCCGAGACAAAAATCTCTTGCCTTATCACAACGGATGTGTGGATCTGCAGCGAGTGCCTGTTTTTGGGAGCTGCGTTATTGCATTCGAGACAAAAATCTCTCTTGCCTTATCACAACGGGCTGAGTTTCTCTAGATCTGACAAACCCCTGTTACTGTGTTTATCATGTAAGACAGATCTGACAAACCCCTGTTACTGTGTTTATTGTGTAAAACGATCGCTGGTGGATGTGCTAGCAGTCAGCAGAACAAGGTCTCTTTGTGTCACAGCCCTCCCTGAGCGAGCACAGCATGTTGTCGTGGCTGGCAGCCGCGCTCAAGGAGGTTTTGGGGTGCTGGGGCAGCAGAACAAGGTCTCTTTGTGTCACAGCCCTCCCTGAGGGAGCACAGCATGTCGTCGTGGCTGGCAGCCGCGCTGAAGGAGGTTTTGGGGTGCTGGGGTGATGGCAGGACCCCACCTGTGGTGGGTATGGCCGGAGACGGCCCAAGTACGACAGCTGTGTTGGCTTTACGGGGCTGTAAAATGCAAGCAATAAGCTGCAGAGATTTGGGGGTCTCTTTGTGTCACAGCCCTCCCTGAGGGAGCACAGCATGTCGTCGTGGCTGGCAGCCGCGCTGAAGGAGGTTTTGGGGTGCTGGGGTGATGGCAGGACCCCACCTGTGGTGGGTATGGCCGGAGACGGCCCAAGTACGACAGCTGTGTTGGCTTTACGGGGCTGTAAAATGCAAGCAATAAGCTGCAGAGATTTGGGACATACCAAGGGCATAGCCACAGTTGGATGTTATTTAAAGAAGAGCTTTGTATCCGCTGACATATAACAGCCTAGGATGTAGTAATGTTTTTAAAATAAACTTTCCAGACTGGCGCTATGCAGGTATTCATGCCTGTTGGGTTTTTCCTTTCCCTGCATGGTCAGGTCTATTGAAAAATATTAAATTCCTGTAAAAGGAGGCTCTCCCTTCCTGCTAATGGGACACGTTTCAAGTGGCCTAACCTGTGAGAGTAAAGACTCGCTCAAAACATGGGTAGTGCCGGGTCATTATCTAGGTATCTGCTTCATCAGTTATATGGAGAGCTGCTGGAAATGGAGCTCTGGTGTGAGTGGCACCTTTACTTGCAAACGAGGAGGACGTCTGGTCTGTGTGGTCACGGCGGGCGTTAGACGCTGACCTGTGATTTAAGACCATCCTGAGCCTGCCCTGGAGGAAGAAGTCAGAACAGCAGGGATGGGGAAGGTTCGTTGTGTGCCATGCCGAGCACCGGCTGACAGCCTGATGGGGCTGGTTTGAAAGCACGCTCGGAACGTCCCGTTTTGCTGTCCGGATCTGTGCAGCCATCGGATGGAGGCGGTGAGGGAGGCAAGGCAGGGCACAGGCATCAGCGAGCCTGTCTGAGGGTGCTGCTAGCGCAGATGTGCTTTCTGCTGCTGTCCTGCCCCCTCGCCTGGGTGGCTGTACGTGTTGTTGACACAGCCTGGGTTTTAGGTCTGTCTCCTGCTCCTGACGAAGCAGGCGTATCGTTTTCTTCATCACTGGAGGAATAGATTCACTATTCTTCCCCCATGAAAAAAGCGGCGCCTCGTCTCTTCAGCTGGCAGGCACTGAGCGTGGTTATGCTATCAGCACCAACTGCACTTTCTTAGTGACAGAGGATAAACACTCCAGCAAAGTGCTGTTTAATAGAAAAACTGTATTTCCCGCTTCCTTTGTTACGGTTGTGAGCACATGCTTTTGTTTAACGGAGGGTTCTCAACTCCAAGCCTGCTGCTCTGCACCAAAAGCTGCCTCCATACACAAATTGTACTCTAGGCCTAAAGAAGGACTTTTTTTTTTTCCCCTGCTAGTGCCTTGCTAAGGTATTGGCCGGGTGTCGCAGGGTGACCGTCCCGGTGCTGCTGGCCGGCCAAGGTAAGCGGCACATGTGTTAGGAAAACAGTGAGCACTGTTCAAGACAAGCTGGGTTGCTTTCCTTCCTGGGTCACCGAGCAGGTCCAGATCAGTTGTTCTTTCCAATAAAATCAAGTTGAGCAGGATTAAAGAAAGGTTAATCTTCTTTAAAACAGCAAACCGTAGGGATTCCTCTGGTGTTTTTCTGAAGATCCTGTTCTTTGGTGGCTCTCTCGTTTCTGTCCTTCTCTTGGCACCCGTGACTGCTGGATTTCCTGTCTTAGTTCATTAAGGGATTTAAAAAGCAGGAGATCAGAGGTCTTTAAAAGGAGTGAAGAATGAGGGCAGCTTTCTCCTGCCGATGGGGTGTGAGCCCATGAGCTGTTCTTGGTGCATCCCCCAGGAGAGCACAGGGCTGGGTGTTGGAAGATGCCCCAGCACCAGGCTCGATCGGCAGGACCTGGACCGTTTGTGAAGTCCCGAGTGCGAGATCTTGCAGTTGGTTCTTTGGCATGCAACGGTACCGACCTTGGCTTCCCGCTACATTGGAAGAAGTCCTGTGCACTCGGAGCAGAGCAGAAGGATGAACGGCTCACGCGGTCACAAACCGCCCGCCTGCTCTGGCGATGATCTTCCATCTGCTTGCCCTCTCCAGACTCTCTTGCTGCCGCTCATGCTGTCAACATGGGCTGTCGTGGTTTTGCACATGCTACAGGGAGGCCACAGCGGGGTGGGATGGTGCTGGCCATTCGATTTCTTGTCATCATGGTACCTCATTGAAAAAATGGGAACATTAAATTATAAAAATAGCACTTTATAGAGGGGTTTCGGGTTTGTTTTTTTAAGAGACAATTGCAGAGCTCCTTCAGAACAGTGTGAACCCATTATAACCAAGATATATGTGTGTGTGTGTGTGTGTATATGTCTATATAATGGATATGGAGAGATGGAGAGATATGTATTAAGTATATACATCAATATATGCTCTATATATTTCTCATATGTGGAGAGATATATAATAAGAGCTTGATTATGGTATTTACAAAATACAATGTGTATCTTGCCAAATATTTATTTTGTGAACGCAGTGCTCTTTGATGGTATTTAACTCACGCTCTGTTGTGTCAAGTAACTAAAGAGCTGTTTGACTGGTCACAGGGCTTGGCTTGTACCCCCTCAGCCTCCAAGGACTAGGTGGTGTACACAAGGTGCTGGGTTTTTTCGCAGGCTGCTTGCAAGCCTGCTGCTCTGCTGTGCTTACTGCATGCTTATGTTTTCAGAGCTTGCCAGAGCTGCAGTGCTTACCTGTTTTCCCTGTTTTCATCCTTTGAGGAGCAATGTGTCCTACTCTGCTGTTTCAGCAATTCCTGTTGGCCAAAAGATGCTCTAAGAAGGAAATGCTGTTTGCCTGGTGTGTCTCCACCCCGGTGCCAGAGCCCTGGCTGTGCTGTTGGGTATGTAGAGTAATTAAACTGGAGGTTGTCTTTTTCCCTTCGCAGAAAGGTGCTGGGTATCACCTGGATTTGTTCTGGGTGGCCATCCTGATGATCATCTGCTCCTTTATGGGTCTGCCCTGGTATGTTGCTGCTACTGTGATCTCCATCGCTCATATCGACAGCTTGAAGATGGAGACAGAAACTTCAGCCCCTGGAGAACAGCCCAAGTTTTTGGGAGTGAGGTATGTCAAACCAGAAAAGCCTCAATTGCCTTGTTTGCCCACAAAGATCAGTTTGTACTGTAAATGGTCTTGCTTCGAGCAGGACACGTGCAGAGGTTCAGGGGGAATTTCCAAAAGCCGTCTATGAGATTTGGCAGCACAGCTCTCTAGCAATTCCTTGGACAAATCCCCATGGAACTCCTCAAAGGTTTATTCAGCCAGATCAGACAGTTTTCCAGTTTGAGAAAAAGAAGTACGTGGTAAATTTACATCCATGGAATTTAGAGAGGCACTCATTAGCAAATATAATGGTAACAAATTTAAACTTGTCATGCCTAGAGTAATCAATTTACTTGATCAAGTCATTTTTTCCCTGTTTGGCTGCCTTAATTAAGTGATGTGAAGTGCTTTCAATAGGAGCACTTCTGGAAATCAGGCCACTTCTTTAGGCAACTAAATAGAAATTGAATGGCCTAACTTCCAGTACTCAGACATACTGTTGGCAAAAGTATTTTCAGAGGTAGGGAGCGGCTGTGGGTGCCAGTGGGGGCACGTGCCCAGCTCCCCACGAAGACCTGGGCCAGGGATCGCAAACTTCTTTGTGCTTAGTGTGCTGTGGGGGGTGAGAGACAGCGTTCATCCAGCTGCTGGAGTGCTGTGAGCAGGACTCACAATGTGGTACTTGAATTAAGACTGGAGAGCTAATGATTTATGACCCATTTGCATGCTGTAAATACTGCCGTGCAGAGAATTTGGTTAGCTAGTTAGTGGTTTCTAATGTTTAACATGGAAACACGCTCCTTCTCACTCTGTAGCGATACTCTGTTGATCCACAAACAGAGGAGCTAGGACAGTGTACAGCTCTGGTGTTCAAAAACTGATGTGTGCAAGGCTTGGTTAGAGCCCAGATACCTGCCTGATGCTGTTGGCTTGTAGTCGCCAGTCTGCTTTGAAAATGTGGCTGCAAAAGCGAGTTGTCAGGCTTTATGTTGGCTTTGAGTACTCTGAGAGGGAATAAAACCAGAATAAAAGCTGAAGCCAGGCTGCTAACTCAGTGATTTTGTTCCAGGGAGCAGAGAGTCACCGGAGTCATTGTTTTCATTCTGACCGGTGTGTCTGTCTTCATGGCTCCGATCCTAAAGGTAAGCACCTCACCTTCTCCGCTTCCTTCTGCTCACACAGCGAAGTCCACACGAGTGGCAAGGACCACAGCGACGGCCGGGCTGTTTTTCTGCTACTAAAAAGCTCATCATTGAAGGGTGGAAAAGTAGATGAGTGAGAATTACTGATGCTGTTTTACAGTTTTATAGAAGCTTAAATGCAAACTTTCTGGAAGGAAAAAATAACGTCAGTGGAGTGTGCTAGATAGTAATAGTGAAAAACTTCAGGGCTGGTGATTTTGGGGGCTGGGATTTTTTTTTTTTTCATTTTAAAAATGCAAATGTTTGCATTCTTAAATGCAAATTCTTCCATGTTTACATAAAGTTTTATTTTGTGCTTTTGCTGTGCCTGTGTTTTATGGAAAATATATGGTGGATAAAGCTTGAGAGCCTATTGAGGACATGACGGGAGGGTGGCTGGCGGTGCAGCGAGGTTGCTGTGTGGAGGGTGCAGATGAACAGTTGAATGCGTAGTCAAGAAAAGTCCGTTGGCATCTACTTTGTGTGCCTGTGAGTTAGGTCTGTGCACACACACACAAACCCAAGCGTTGACATCCTGCGTTTGCCCCTTTGCATGGGGTCCGTGCGTGCGGAGCTGCTGGGGGCTGCAGGAGCACGGCTCTGTGGCACCGTCTCTTGGGACAGATTCCCTCCTGGGAGTCCTCTCCTCTGGCAGCTAAAAGGGACTTTGCTCTCTTGCTCTGGAAGAAGCCATCGAGCGCAGAGCTTGGGATGATTCTGCACCACGTGGCAGAGCTGGACCTGGCTGAGGATATTTTGGAGGGAGTGCCACAGCCTATAGATGTCTCAGTTTCTCATCGGCCCTGAAGTCTAGCTGCTTCTAGAGGAGAACACGAGTCCTGCAAACGTCCTGGCCAACACCACACTAGTGGGGAGCCCGGTTCCTGCAGTACGTGTTAGTTGTCACAGGCACATTTTCAGCACCTTCTACGTGTACCTGAAGAAAATCTTCATGTGCTGCTTGCTCCCAGGCCATGTGCGAGGAGGTTGTTTCCGTGAGAGAAGAGAACACACAGAACCGATGGCAGTGAGCAGCACCTACAGCTGATGGTATTAGTCCAGGGGTACAGTTTTGGCCAAAATTCTTTGGGACAGTTGCCACTGCGTAGTGAAGCTGTACCCTGCCTGGTACCGCTGCCAAGGCACGCGCCTCGGCAGCGTGAGGCTCCTGCAGCTCGCCTGGCTTCTTGTGAAAAGAGCCAGCACAACAATCACATTTTTATTCTTACAGGCTGGATCCTTCTGAGATAGCACATCCCTTATCGCTCCGAAGCGATGCCCAGCTCAGCAGTGCGGAAAACGTGTTTCTGGAGGAAACAGTGCAATTAAATGTGATTTCTTAATCTCCTGATTTTTTTTTCTTGTGAGTTTAGCTAAGGCTCTGGACCGATGTGCTGCTGAGGTACCATTTCAGCTAGGTAGGCAGCTGTCCTCCAAGACCTGCAGTTTGTTGGCACATAACCACAGAGCATAATGGACCATCAGATCATAGAATGAAACTGGAAAACCTGCTTCTCCGTTCCTTGTGGAGGCTACTGCCTTCTCCGGGGATGCGGATTTGAGTGGCGCTGCGCAACGGGAGGTGACAGCCGCAGGAGCCCGTCTCCGTGGATCCGTACACTCGTGGTGCGAGCAGGAGTTTCAAAATGGTAACAAACGCACTTCAGCAGTGGCACCATCTGCGATAACTCGGTGACGGAGCAGATGTGTGTCTGGACCAAAGCAAGTTTGTGGTCACGAGGAGGCTGGAAGCGGCGGGGGCTGCGAGGCACAGTTAGATGGGAGCCTGGAGGGGAGGTGGCAGGCAGAGAGCATTGATGCTGCCTGGCTATCAAATGGAGAAAGTGGCTTTAAAAAAGTCGGTGCATTCCTGTTCTTAATTTCTGAGGTTGTTTTTACAACTAGCAGATTTTTATGTCTTGGTAACAGTTTCTTCCTCTGCACAAACAAAGGCATTTCTGTGCCCTTAATGCCTGATTGTAATAATTCCGTTTGTTACTTCATGTGACCTTTCCTTGTAAGACCTCTTTTCCTCTATTCCGCTGGGGTCTATTACTTCCCCTGTTATTGTTTCGTTCATTAGTGATTTGTCCGTGCTTCCCCTAAGAGTGCATAAGGGGAAGATCCTCGCGGGAGGATGCCTGAGGATAGAGCGGCACGCTCCTCGCCCACGTGCCAGCGGGAAGCACCTGGAAGCATTTCAGGCCCTTTAGCAAACTGCAGTGGCAGGATCTCCTGCTTTGCTGACCGCATTGCGGAACAGTTAAGTCTTCTCATGCCAGCAGCAAACTGAACACTAATGATCCCAAATTCAATAAAACAGGCAATCCCCAGAATAATCCCATCTTTGGGTTTTTGTGGGTTTCGCAGTGTTTGTGCTGGTTTTCAACGTCACCGAGCTTTCTGCTCAGCTATGGCAGATCTCCCCAGAAATAGCCTTGGCCCTGCTGGGAGAATGACAGGCACTTTCCTATAAATACATTTTTAATTCTGTTGGCGAGCAGCGGGTTTGCTCGGAGTGCCTCAGCCAGCAACCCCATCGTCACTGAATGGTTTGCCAAAAGAAAATCTTCCCAAATGAAAGTGCTGCTTGCTGCTCTGCTGGATAATGTACTGAAGCTTCACCTAGGAATGATTTACAGGATTAATTATTGTGGAATGGTGAAATAATATTTGGACTTTAAAAAAAAAAGAAAAAAAACCAGAAAGAAATAGAAGGGGAGAGAAAGAGAGCAATGTAAATGAACTAGAAAGCTAAACTCTGAAAGCTTCCTACCCAGCCTGCTGGAGGAGGTATTATCTTGTCTTGTCTAATCCCTGGGATCCAGTGAGGGCTTTGAATCCCTGGGACACCCGTGGCTGTGTGAGCCTCTCCCTGTCCCTCCCCACTTCGCTCCACGGTGACGGCAGACTGTTGAAGACAGGCTGCAGGAAAAAACATTTGGCTTTTAACCTGAAATACCAAAGCAACTCCTTCACAGAAGCAAATAAAGCCAATAGAAGGATAAATGAATAGAAGGATAAATTGAAAATCAAGCAGCTCACAGGAGATGACAGAGAATGAGACTCGGGCAAGGGAAGGGGAGAATGCAGGCGGTGAAGCTTTGGTCTCGGACGGCGTTACACACAGAGGCTGGTGACCTTGGTGCTTGCGTGCCCGGAATTAAGTGCCTGCATTCGGGACGTGCCCATGGCACCGTGTTTCCCACCTAGTAAACGATTAATAACGTGGTGGCGAATCTGGTAAAACACTGAGTAACTGCCGTGTTGTGTGCCTCTTTAATGAGTTGCACGCACAGGTCGCAGAACAGGAGCGCTGGAGGGGGGGCGACTCGGGAGGCGCTGCCGTTTGGTGGCAGCCCCCCGTCACTGCACAGAGCCACGGCAACAGGGCTCGTTCCGTCCTTCTCAGGCCCAAAGAAATGGCACAAAGGCCGTTCTTTAGCTCCCACGTGCGGTTTGTGCCCCGGCGTTGCCGTCACGCCGCGCTGGCTGCACACAATCCTGCTGTGGGGCCGGGGAGCGCTCCCTGCTCCTGGCAGCCGCCCGGGTGTTCTTGCTGTTGCGGAAAGTTTTGTGCGTTAGGTCGAAGGGCCAACTGCTCTTTCTGGGGAGCATGTCTGTTGTCACCGTGTGCAGGCAGTCACACTGCCTGGTTTTGAGCCTTCCTCACTTCCGAAGGATGATGTCCCCAGTTGCAGGACCAGCGATGAAGGAATGGGCAGCACTGCGCACTCAGGGGAGCGGGAATTGAAGTTTGAAAAGACAGTTCCTGGCACTGAAGCGTGTAACTCATGGTCCTGTGTTTGTGAGCAGTTCTGCATTAATGGGAGTGAAAGACTGATCAGTCAGAGATGTGGTTGGCATGACTGTCGTTGCTGAGCTGGGATTCAAGAGCCATTCTGGATGGTTTTCTGCAGCTTGCTGGGCCTGACATACCACAGGATCACACTGCCTCTTCTTCTTCTCTGCCTTCTGCTGCTCGTCTCAGCAGAACAAGAGGTGAAAAGCAGTTTGAAGCTTACCGGAATATGTTTTACCCCGCCTGTTCTTTAACTTGCTGACTAACTGGCGCTGGCTGGCTTCTCTCCCTTTGTTCCTTGGAGAGCCATCCATCCAGGGACCTGGGAGAGCCCAGGGCTCGCTGGGCCCCTGCCCTGCTCTTCAGCCCTCCAGTGCTAGCACAAGTATTCCTGCAGCTCTCAAAACACAGCAGAAGGAGCGCTGACTTTATGACTCTGCGTTATCCCCTCGTAGGTGCGATCTGAGTTGATCACAGGTCCGGGATTACGCCGCTGGGGTGTGAACGGTGCGTTGCGTACGGGAGGTTATTCACTGGGTCTCTCCTGCTCTTCCCAACAGTTCATCCCCATGCCTGTGCTCTACGGCGTCTTCCTCTACATGGGCGTCGCTTCCCTCAACGGTGTGCAGGTGAGTCCCCCGAGCTGCTGGGAGCAGGCTCCGCGCCGGACCTTCCCCCGAAGGCAGCAATCATGAACCAGTGCGGGGTTTCACAGCTCTCCAGCCTTCCCTTTCTCCTTCACCACCTCCTTTTCCTTCCTGAGAAAGCTGGGGAGGGGAGCAACTGCTCACAAGTGTTGCTGCACGCTGGTTCGGGTCCTTTGCGGGGATGTCTGTTGCAGGGAAGGTGATTTATGGTGTTATTCCACAACGTTAACGAGCGGGAACATTGCTGTTTGCCAGGGAAGGGAAGCCAAGCCCCCTTTCTTTGTCGTAGGGGAAATATTACGTAAGGAGCCTTTCTCACTCTCTTTAATTGGCACTAGGAAGCTGGAAGGGTTTTTGTTGCTTTCTGGCACCCTATTAATTGTGGCCTTTCTCTTTAGCGCTTGGTTGTGCTCTAATGGGAAAAGACTCCCTGTTCTGTGAGCGCCCTGAGAATTTCCTTGGGTATTCTTGGGCCCTGACTTTCATTCACTGGTTGGAGATGAATCTGGCTGCAGCAGCGGGCAGCAAGCCCACGTTCGGGCAGGGGACAATGGGGGGATTGTAATACTCCCCCTGGGGTTGGTTCTGCCGGAGGGCATTTCCCCTGCTTCCTGGCCCAGGTGCTCAGGGGTCTGGGCAGCTTGTTTTCCCCTGATGAAGGATGTTTTTCACTCGATGAGAAACACCGATTCTGGTTTAACTCCAAGTCCATCCGGTCCAGCATTGGGGCAAGGGACGCTGCCTGAAAAGCTGCCCGTCCTCCTCTGTCTTCGCTTCGGTGCCTTTCTGTTCCCTGGTGACATGATGTCTGCCCTTACCTCTGCTGACCCAGTTTATTTGGAAAAAAACACTGGTTTTAAGCGCTGAATGTCTTTTGTTGGTAGGACCGGGGCAGGGGAGGGTGGCAGAAGAGGTGCAGAGTTCAATGCTGACTGCAGTATGGGCATTCATCTTGTTTGCTTTGTTCTGGGGGTAATGAAGTGCTTCCTTCAGGAGAACATCCCCTGTGTCCCCAGCTGCTGCACATCAGGCCCGGTTTTTCAGTGCCAGCAGAGCAATATATACCCGTACCTTCGTTCCTTGCCTTACCCACGTGGAGGTCTGCTCCTTAAAATAAAAAGGCACCTTAAGGTCTTGCTTTGAGAGATGCTTGGCTCCTGTGTCTCTTCAAGTGCCAAATGTCACGCAGACCAAAGACCTGAACTTGTGCCTCGTGGTGAGTGGGGATAGAGGAGCTGTGCTGCGCTTCCTGCCAAGTTTCCTTTCTGAGAGGAAAGCAAGTTGATCCGAGGTCACAGTTTACTGATGCTTTTGTATGTCTCTTTTGTGCATCCCGCGTTTCATTTGGACATCTGTTTCTTTTCCTTTCCAGTTCATGGATCGTCTGAAGCTGCTCTTGATGCCTCTGAAACACCAGCCTGACTTTATCTACCTGCGCCACGTCCCGCTGCGCAGGGTCCATCTGTTCACCTTCCTGCAGGTGGTGTGCCTGGCCCTCCTCTGGATCCTCAAGTCCACCGTGGCTGCCATCATATTCCCTGTCATGGTGGGTGACCTTCTCCTTCGCCTTGCCCAGCCCTCGCCTGGACCTTCCCCGTACAGCCGTACCCTCCCGCAAACCCACAAATCCCATCCTCCCCCTGGCAAATCCCCAGCCTGGGGCTCTGCACTCTGTTCGTGGCGCTGATGTGAGACAGCACGGGGTAAACGTTGCCGTGGCTGCCGTTAACGTAAATCCTCTGGAAGAAAACAAGCCTTGAAAGTTAATTTTTTTCCAGACAGGTGTAGTTAGTTTTGACGGTTCCTGGCTGCCAAGGTTAAGTTTGCCACGTTTTCTCCTTGAGCTGCAGGAATGAATGAGAGGTGCACAGTTTTCCTTTTTCCAGTCCACTCTAATTACTGTACAGAAAATGTCTGCCTGGCTTTTAAAAAAACACAATTTGGCAAAACCAAGAAGGAGACTCACTGCTGGGAGGCACGTCAAATGGAGGGAAAGGATTAGCTAAATCAAGAGTGAAAAAATTAATGTCTTTTTCCATGAACCTTAGTTAGGAACGTACAGAGTGCTCACAATTCAAGGTGAAGGTGACTGAGAAGTCCCTCTTTGCCTTTGCCTTTGCAGATCCTGGCGCTTGTGGCAGTCAGAAAGGCCATGGACTACCTCTTCTCCCAGCATGACTTAAGCTTTCTTGACGACGTCATTCCAGAAAAGGACAAGAAGAAGAAAGAGGATGAGAAGAAGAAGAAAAAGAAGAAGGGCAGTATGGACAGCGACAATGATGATGTAAGGAGCTTTCCACTCTTGTTGAATGACTCATTTCTAGCTAGTTAATGCCGGCTGCTGGTCAGTGCCCCTCCCCAGCTCCGGGGTGGCCATTTCCCAGCCTCTTCTGAAGCCACCCAGCTCAGTCTTATGTTGCTGCAGCAAATTGGCCCCAACCAGAACTTCTTTTCTGCATTGCCTTCCCTTTTCCAGACGTCACCAGCCCGTGGTAGGTGGTGCTGGCATTGCTGAGAATGAAATCGCGCTTTCCACACGAGCACTAGATAGCTGCTGAGATGTCAAGCCCTTCTCTAGAATGCCTTTCATCACCCTGTCTTGTTCGTCTTTCCCTCCTCTGCCTTTCTCCCCCCTCATTGTCTTTTACGTTTTAGGAGGAGAATGGTTTTCATGAGGAGCTCTGTTACCTCTGAATATTCCCTGGTTTTCTTGTGCGGCATGTTTTTAGTTATTCTCTTTAAAAGCACAAAAAGATGCGACTTGTCATATTGCAGGGAAGACTCTTTTCTGTTGATAATACTCGTGACCTAAACATTTTAAAAACATAAATGTCCTTCAGCAGTGTAGTCTTTGGTCCTACCTCAGGTAAGATCGCCTGAAACTGGAAAACAAAACAAAAAATCACATTTCGACATGGCTGGGAGGAGGAAGGCAGCAACTGAGCTGCAGCGCCCAGGTGTTGAGCTCTGGGGCTGTGTCAGTATGTTAGCCAGGAAACGTTTTTGCAGCGAAGCCAGAAGGAGAATGCAAGGCACTGGTTAGCGGTGGGAAGCACCAGAAGGTCGGAGGTGCCACGGGGTCATTCTGCCCCACTGTGTGCTTGGAGGGTTCCTGCTGCCTGTTGTCTGGATCCTTTCTGCACCAAATCAGCCCTTCTTGTGGGTTAGGTGATAAATCTGGTGTCCTCAAGAGGAAAAGCAGCTCCAGAGGTTTCCCAGACCAGCACGATGCCTGGTCTTGCTCAAGGCTGGGAGGACAAGTCGGAGGAGCAGCTAGAAGCAGCGTCCCTTACGTGCAAGCTGTATGACACCTCTGCACATCTGTGTTAGAGAAAACAAAGTCAGGCTGTTCCAGTGAGCACATAGGTGAAGGCTTTTCCCTAAAGAATACATGCTGTACAAACTAGAGCGTGTGTGCTGCAAGAGGCAAAGGTGGGGCTTCCGTAGGGCGAGGGAGCAGCGACGTAGGTGCTAGCATGGACCCACGCCTTGTTAAATCAGGCTGGATCCCAGCTGGGAGGGTTGACTCTTGTTTCAGACAGCAAGCTCCCCTTCCCCATCATCCCCCCCGTACTTGGAAGGCTGAGGTTGGGGGTTTCCTTCAGCGGAGAATTTTGTACAAACCCAAACAAGAGAAAATGCCCCACTGTACATAGCGAATAGCGAACAAAGGTTTGACTCCGTCCCTTCCTCTGGACTGGTTTGAATCCAGCAGCGTGGTATCCTGAGCCGTGGCTCCCATATCCCTGCTATGGTTGAAGCTGTCTCCTCTCTTCTCAGGCTTTTGGTGAATTTCAGGTACAGTACTTGACCTCATGGGCAAGAGAATTTATGCAAAATGTTGGTTCTTAACTCTTTGTGGGTTTTTTTCAGCACTTTTACCAGCTTCCTGACTGTAAAGCACTTGGCATTATTCATGTGATTATTTTCACCCTTTCCCTTCCAGAAACCTGCTCCCACAGAGTCAGTACTGTGGGAGCTGACGGGCAGAGCGTGGATGAGAGTCCAGCCAAGAGAGCTGGGCGCTGCCGGTGCACGTGGTGTTAGATACCGAGGACGGCAGAGCCTGCTGTTAGTGGGGACGGCTCTCGGCACCAGCGAGGGCTCGCTTACAGTGCTCACTGGGGGTTTGGTAGCGATTGTAGGCAGCGAAAAAGGAACTGCAAAGATCTTCTGTAGTCTCACCAGTTTTCCCTCCAGCAAAGTATGAATTCGTGCAACTAATTGCTGCATTTGCCCAATGGAAAATCAGCACCTTGTTTTTTCTCTCTGATTTTATGTCCAAAATGCACGATCCAAGAAAGGCCAGACTTTTTTTTTTTTTTTAAGAGTAAAATCTCAGGCTGGTATGTTTAGTTGAAGAGGCAGTGATGTGTCATAGTTCTCCCCTTTGGGGCATTTTTGCCAGCTGCTGGCACTTTCTCTGTCTCTTTGTTCACTTTACATGGTGAAGTTTAAAACAGACTCCGAGCCACTCCACAGCTCTCTTACATTTATTTATTGGCACTGAAACAGCCACAGGTTGGAGGGGTTACCCAGTCCTTATTCTCCGCTTAATGCGTAGTCCCAAACAGCTGGGGACTTGGGGGTGGCTTTATGGCCTCCGTGGTTTTCTGCCACATCTTCTTTATTTAAGCTTTGCTTATCCCTCAGCCTCATAAAAATACTTCTGAAGAGACATTTTGCTATGGGAGTAGGAAATATTGTACTGGATGTCAGCTGTGCTAAAAAAGAATTAGAAAAAAATAATCCAGGGAGAGAGATTTTCTGGCTCCAGGTCTCTCCAGGGCCACAGATCTGGTAACCTGCCTGGCAAATGCCACCTCATTTCCTTTGCCAAATTATGCAATATCAGCCTTCCCTAGGCTACGAGAAGTTATTTTTGTTTAAAAAAATAAAATAAAATTCCAAGTACCTTGTACTAAGCACAAGCGTGCATTATGGAAGCCGGTGGGGTATGAACACCCTGGTACCCGAATTCCGGGTGACGCCGTGCACAGCTTTTCTCTGCACTTGTACCTCTTCCTGACCAGTTCACCGTTTCTCCTGCCTGGCTGGGAATACGGAATTCTTACAAGGGCCCGGATTTGAGGAACTATTTTACTGTAACTAGAGGGGGAGCTGAGACTGGGTTTGACCCTATTTAGATAGAAGGGGAGTTGAGACACTCCAGCTGAAGGAACCTCTGCCGTGTCACGCCTGGCCCTCTTCCTCGTAGGGCAGTTGGGAAGCAAAAAGGGGTTTTACGGAAATCACACCAGGATAAAATGTTTTTATGAGCTTTCAGAGAAGCCAGTGCCCTGCCTGCGGATGCGTTTCTGTATTTCCTGCAGCCAACTCCAAACTGAATTGGATGGTGTCTGATAAGCTGGTGGCAAAGGAGCTGGTGAGGTGGGGAAAGGGGAAGATAAAACTCACACAAGATAATCCATTCAATCTGTTTTCCTTTCATTGTGTGAAGGAAGAGGGGAAGCGGGGCGCGATGGGGACCCAGTGGAAGCCAGCAGGCAACTAAGCTGGACAATGCTTTTTTGCTTTTTTTCTTTTTTTTTTTTGTTCTTTTCCTCATTCCTACAGAAACTATATGAAGGATAATTTTAATTTGTGGGAAACGATAAGAGAGCGAGCAGTGAAAATATTCTAAGACCTTTTGCACGTTTCTTTCACAGTCTGACTGCCCCTACCCAGAAAAAGTCCCAAGTATTAAAATACCAATGGACATCATGGAGCAGGAACCTTTCCTAAGTGATAGCAAACCTGCTGACAGTGAGTAGAACTAACCTCTTGCATGCCTGCTTGACTCTGCCTTGCAGTACAAATATATATATATGTATTTAGAGTGATTATTTAAAAAAAAACAAAAAAACAAAAAAACCACAAAAAACTTTCCTATTACTTGAGAAGTACTTTTTCTTGGTGTTTTTTTTTTCTTTCTTCTTTTTTTTTCATTTCCCAGGTCTCTGTTTTATGACAGATTTGGGTTTTGTGGGCTTTTTTCTTTGCTCATTAAAAAAATTCATGTTGTTCTTTCTGGTGCCTCCAGCTTAAATGCTTTTGTCCAGCTGTTAACAGGTCTCTTGGTCGCTCACTCTCCTCCCTTTTCTGACCTTCCCCGTTTTGTGTTAACTCCGCTGATGGTTTGATTTATTTTTTTTCCTCTGAGCCTAGTGTTCTGGATTTGCAGCATATCCAAACTGCATCGCTGTCCCGTTACTGTTTGTTTCCTTAGGTGCCAAGCAGTTGCACAAATCAGAGTAATTAAGCGTGTCATTGATCCGCGTTGCGCATTGCACTGACAAGGCGGTGGTCAGTTGACCATTAACGTATTTCCCTTCTTAGGTGATTTGCTTTTGTGCTATTCTGTTTCTTTTTAATTTCTTAACCTTCATATCCATGATTGATTATTACAATCTTCATTTTCAGTCATTTTCACTTTTCATCTTATAGTCTTTTAAGTGAGGAATGGGGAACAACGGACCTTGGCTGTGTTGCCTTTGCGCTGACTTGTTGAAATACTCTCTGGCTGGAGATGAATGTGCTGCTTTGTCGGGAGATGGGAGAAGAGAAACACGCAGGACAGCGCTAAATCAGTGCTGCCGCAATGCTGCTGCTAAGATTTCTAGGAGCAGGACCTGAAACTACAGATCTTTAGACCCCAAAACTATCGTTTAAGAGCTGGTACCTGAGTCCTGTGCCTTTTGGTGGCATCGAGATGCGTTTGGCAATGCTGAGCCTTGTCCTGTGGGTTTTGGATAAAGGAACACTTGGGGATTGGCACTATGAAACAAAGGCAAAGAGAAAGAGGCGGTTCCCTTGCTAGTTAGATATTCTCAGTGTTTTGCTGGTAAGGAAAAGAAAAGGAGTTAAATCAGTCTCGGACAAACAAACGGATTGTTCTCCTCATTTTTCTGTGATGTGCTGAATGACATCCTAAATGTTGTTCCATGGGATTTTATGATCAGGTGCACAGTTTTGAATGTCTTTGAGGCTGAAGTAATGAAGGAGAAGTTAATTCTTCTGCTGCCAACCAGTTTGTTGGCGTGCCCCTTCAGACAACACGGGGTAACCGCCCCGGAGCCCAGCAGTGCTTGCTTTATTTGTATGTTTTTATAATTCAGAAATTGATTTGTTGCCTTTTATTTAGAAACAATGCAAAAAAAAAAAAAAATCAGGCCCTTTTTCTAGAAAAAGTAGCTGGAATACACTCTGCCATTGGAAGCATATTGCTGATAACACTCCTGGCATTCAGTACTGGGGTGTATTTTGCATGTCCTGACTGCCTGGCAAACACGTAACTCATCCCTCAGCCTCGCAGGCAGAGAGGTGGATTCCAGCTGCTTCTCAATCCAAATACCAAATTCATTTTTTACTTTGTAGCTTTTCTTCAGCAGTAGCAAGAATAGGATGGTTATTAACATTTCCCCGCACCCCCCCCGCCCCGGGTCAGGAGAGGAAAGTGATTACAGGCACCAAACCCCCTGTTGTCTCTCGAGGAGTTTGGATGCCCCGGTGAGGAGCACAGGGCAGCCAGAGGCAGATAACCGGTAAGTAGCAAGACCTCAAGGTGGTGAAAGCCTTGAGAAAGGCATCCTGTGGTCGCGTTGGCTGTTCAAGGGTTTTTATCTTGGAGGAGAGATGTAAATACAGTATTTCTATTCCCAAGCTGTGACATCCATCTGGCAGGCAGGCAGCAGTACAAAAGCATTGCCAAACACATGAGGGTTTGCTGGAGAAACTGAGGCTGGGCTTGAGAAGCCGTCAGTGCTGCAGGCAACGACTAATGAGACTTTCTTCTCTCCCCACAGGAGAAAAATCACCAACATTCCTTGAACGCCACACGTCGTGCTGATACAATTCCTTTCCTTCAGTCATACACCATGCCAAGGTAAGCACCCGAAAAATGCTCTTTGTAATCCTTCCTCAAAAGCTTCTCCTCAGTACGCTGGAGGTCAGAGACAAAGCTCCTGTCCCCCTGTAGAAGACTCTTCAAAGGCACTCGGAGAGAATTCCCCCCTAGGGCTGCGGCATCCCAAGGTTATTGCCAACGTGGCCCCACAGCGCTGGGGATGGGGAGTGGGAGCCTGGGGGACACCCGGGGACTCCGCCGGCCTTGGTTAGACCCTGGCTGCAGTACCGGTGTCTGCTTTGGGATGTGAACCAGAAGACAGGCGTGGAACAACTTGGGGGAGTCTAGAAAACATGTCTGTGGGTGAAAAATTAAATGAGTTGGGATTGTTTAGCCTTTAAAAACAAAAAGAGACAGTAGGAGAAAGTTGCTGTTGTGCTTTCCTTCAGTCACGTAACAGGATGTTGCAAGGAGGAGGTAACCCATTTTCCCGTGTCTGTGGTAGTTAATAGAGTCAATAAAGACCTTAAATTGCATTAAGGAAGACTTAAGTAAAATTTTCTCAGAGCTCAGCCATGGCTTAGCCCCTCGGGGCCACCTTGGGCACCCCAGTGCTGGGAGTCGGATCTAGACCAAGGCAGCAACAGTCTTCTGGAATGTCAAACTATCTGCGCTCCCAGGTGGTGGAGAGTGTGGGAGATGAGTCTCGAGGGAGATAACCCGCTGATTTCAAAGGCAGTTTGAGTGTTGCCACAGCCTGGTGCAAAACATGAGCACTGGGTGCTTGGAGCTCCTCAGTCAGTGAGTCGGTGGTTTCACCTCCTGACATGAGCGGTGCTGAGACCAGCTCATGAACGTTGTCATACGTGATGTACGAGCCCAACGATAAATTCAGGTACCCAAGACCAGCCGTACATTGCGACGGTCTGTCGGGGTTATTCACTGGGTGTCGATATGCTGCCGGTTCGAGGCAGCTGCATTACGTGAGCTAAGGAACCGATTCCGGGAGCCGAGCGCTTGTTCCCTTTCTAGCCAGGTGTCCCCAGGAGTGTGAGGTGTCCCCGGGGGGCCCAGCACTGGCAGTTTTCCCACTGTGCGCCAGTTGCCGCTCTGTTTGCAAAATGCTGGTTTTCTCTTGCGAGTTGTAGATTTTATTTTTTTTTAAGAGGTTGGTCACTGGGAAGCCAGCAAAAGTCCAATGAGCACGGCAGAGGGCACTGGAAATTGCAGTCCCCACGCTGACCTTGTCTTTCCTTTTCTCCGCAGCCCTCCACGGACTCCAGTAAAAGTTGTGCCTCAAATTAGAATAGAACTTGAGCCTGAAGACAATGGTTATTTCTGGAGGAGCAAGGGAACAGAAACTACTTTGTAATTTGTCTGTCTTGTTAAATCTTTTATGGGGTTTATTTTGTCACTAGCCAAATATTAAAATGCTCTCTGCTTCCCACCTGCCCAGGTAAATGAGAATCACCCCCTCCGCCCTCGCCCCCGCAGATCTCCTCTCGCCCTCCTCGCCCCATCCCTCCTCTCTGACCAAGACTTGGTTTTGCCTTCTCTGTCGCTTAGCCGTGCGCGCCTCTCTCCTGTTTTCAAGCAGAGGGCAGAAGTATTAAGGAACTACTGTCAAACCTGTGGGAGGTGCCAGGGGAGCTGGCATCGCTGTCGTTGTGAACCCGTGTTTGTCTGTGTGTCTGTTTGTCGTCTGGCAGAACAAAGCTGACCTCCAGGCTACTGCAACGGCTGTCTTACACTGCTCGGAGATGCTGGAAAGTGCTGCTAATACTAACTTTGCTCTTAAAAACCTGTACTTGTAGTTAACACAAGAAGGAAAAGGAAAAGGTACTTCACTCCCAGCACAGACAAACTATTGCCATCGTTGTAGCATGTGTTTTGAAATGTCCCTTTCCTATGCAATTTTTTTTAAAGAAACACTTTAATGGACTTAATCTGTCAGGTACATTGCAGAGTGTTATTTTCCTAGATTATTTTGTTTAAATTATGGGGGCCTAACCTATGACTTTTTTTTTTTTGTCAATTTTTTTAACCTTTTTTTTAATTACTGTAAAGAAAAATGAATTTTTCCTGCAGCAGGAAACATATAGTTATGAGTAGTTCTACCTCTTATTTCTAGATGCCAGATTTCTGTAAAAAATGTATTGTACCATATATCATGTGATTTTTACAAGAAAAAAACAAAACAAAACAAAACAAAAAAAAACCAACACCACAATCTCCAGGACATGGCATAGGGCTGGATCAGTTTGATTAACACCTTCTACTCTGAAGCACGTTTGACGTAGGGTTATGGGGTTTTTTTGTTGTTTGGTTGGTTTTTTTAATAAATAATCTAACTTTACTATGAAGGAGACGGGATGTAACGTAAATCTCTTGCGATCTAGGAAGAGTCTTAAATGTAATGGTTGTAAGGGAAGTCCAAAGCGGGTGGGGTGCCGGGGGACAGATGCTGATTGTATTTCTGTTGTTGGTTTCCTATGCGGTTTTGGTAGAATTAGTTCCTTTGTTAGAATGATTTCTTTTGCCACACGGGTGTGCGTGCGTGTCTGTGAATACCCGAGAGGACGCTGCGTGCAGTTGAGGCACGATGACAGCGCAGCTGAGGAGAAAGACAGCTGAAGGTGACCTGCAGGGACGTTCATCCCGGAGTCCACATTCTCTGCCATCCCAGATCTGTTCACCATCATCTGCAGAATTTACCCCAGATCTTCACCGCTCAGCAGTAGACCCATCCATCCGTAGAGGTGATGCGCCGGTACCAAGCAGGCTGGGCACGGTCACACGCAGGCTTTGGGTTTCAAACCAAGCGAACAAAACCCACCTTGGGAGAGATGATTTTCTCTCTGTAGCGCGTATGCACATGTACTCGTGTGTGCGTATGCACGGGCGTGTTTGTGTCAGGCATCACCACGATGTTTCATGATGGAACATGAGGATTACGTATAAAACAGCACAAAGGCTTCATCAAAAAGAAGAGGGGGTGGGACGGGCCATGCCCCCAGTGGGGAACACCCCCCACCGGAGGACGGGCACGTCACTGCTGCTTTTGTCGTTGTGAAACCAAAGTCCATGTTGGTTCAGGAAAGAGAGCTTCATGGTGGTGCTGAGACCTGACATGCCGCAGGTAGCACCTGCTCGCTCGTAGGAGCCGTATCAGCAACGGGGGGTGCAGAACGGGGCTGTCGGTGTCTTTCCCAGGTGTGCTGCAGAAGCTCCTGGCCACTTGACTTTTCCTGCAGCTCTTGGGTTAAAAGATGAGCTGATGGATGCCCATGATGGGTTTCAGTTGATCTCCCGCTAGTGGTCGTTGCTGCATAAAGATGGAGTTGAAGAGACATGCACACACACACACACACACATCTGAACATTCCCCAGCTCCTTCCCGAGGGATCTCCATTTCAAAACGCGTGGGGACCGGACAGCAGAGTGCCGCCTCGCCGCCGCCCTCCGGGATCTCCATCCCGTCATCCCAGCCCAAACCGCCCCAGCAAGGCTGAGGAGACGTGCAACGGCCAGGAGAGGAGCAGCTCTGCCATCCCTCCCGCTGGAGCCCCTGCTCGCCGGGGGACGGACACGCTGGGATGCGCAGTGCCAGGCGGGACAGCTCCCATCCCTCGCTGAGCGTGAGTCCCCGGCTGCCCAAAGGGAAACGGGCTCGAGCGTCGCCTGCAGAATGCACGAGAGCTGCTTACAGTTTGCCCCAACATTTTATTTGTAGGGATCCAAATAGCTGGCTAAGGAAAGATGGAAACAGCTGAACCCAGAGCAGACGATTTCCTCGGGGAGCACCGGCAGGAGCCCCCCCGCTCCCCGCAGGGGCCGCGCCAGCCCCCGCGTAGCTTCCCATCCGCTGGCACCTGGTCATCTGTCTCCACAACAATGAGGTCTTCCACTTTCAAACCGTGTTAAATGTACTTGAAATGTATCAACTGCTGATCTAGATCTTTTTTTTTTTGTTTGTTTTAACCCAGGCGAGCTGCTGTACAGAGGGTGGCGTCGCTTAAGGGCCGGGACAAAGATTTCTGCAGCTTTCTGTGGAAAACACAACTCTGGGGACAGGAGCTGGGAGTTTTTCCTTTCCTGGTGCCTGACGGTAGCACTTCATTGGCGGTTGTGTCTCCTTTATTTGGTTTTTCTTTAAAATAAAAAAAAAAAAAAACCAACCCAAACCTAAAACAAAGAGGTTAACCGGGAGCTGTGCCGGCATCCGGAGCCAGCGGGCAGGAGCAGCGGCTCAGTCACCCCCAGCAGGGTTCCACTGCTCTGCTCAGACAGAAAACTCCAACTTGTTTAGCATCAGAATTGGGCATCTGGGGGGAAAAGCCTGGCGGGCACTTCGGGGGCCCAAAGGCCTCTGAGATGAGAGGGAGCCGTAAAGAACGGAATTACCCCGAGCAAAACCCAGCCAGGTCCCACCTTGGGGCTGGTGCCCTGGTGTCACCCCATGAAAGCCGCCGAGCTGCAACCAGCTTTGTCCCGGCCCTGGGAACGTGGTGACTGTCTGCCTCTGTAGCCCATCCTTATTTGTCATCGTGGCCGAGACATCTTTGTATTCTTTTTTTTTTTTTTTAATCAACACGCACTTTCAGATACTTTATTATTGTTTTTAATTCTCTTAAGTCTGTATTTGCTTTGGAGGAAAAGAATAAAAATTTAGTGTAAAATGAAGTGGATCAAGATGGTGGAACAAAAAGAAAAAAAAAAGCAGAAAACATTTCAATATATTAAAATGATTTTTTTTCCAGTAATATAAAACATGAAATTCCTTATAACATTATAGTATTTTACAGTTTTACGGAGCTTTCTATTGTGACTTTTATGGAATCAAAAGATGAAGATGATGAGATATTTTAGCATTTCTATTTTTCAAAATTAAATGTATACTGAAAATAAAGTAACTTTATGCATTTATTGGAGAGTTTATGTGTTGGGTTTTCCTTGCTCTATCCAGATTCCCGTGTCACTGTTACCGTAACCGCCGGTTCCAAGGGAACACATCCCGGCCCCGCACGAGCCTGGGTCTGGGGGGTCCTCCTTCCCCCCGTTCCGTACCTGGTGGCCCGTCAGCAGCGGGCTCCTGCAGACAGCAGAGCACCATTGAAAAGGTGCTGGTGGGATCCAGGGATCGTGGGCAGCGGGACCCGGAGCTCTGGGGCGATGGCCCGGGGCTAGGGGAGCAGCTGTGGGGCCGCCTCTGGAGGGTGGGCAGGAGGTCCCAGAGCGACGTGGCATCTCTCTGACCACCACCAGACAGATGAGGGTGACCCAGCGTGGCCTGGGCTGCTCCGAGGGACCTCTGATTTCTGGGGACTTCGCTTATTCCAGCTTTCGCAGAAGTCAGCCCGTTTTAATAAAAAAAAAATCATTTGGTTTGGTTTTGTGCGTTATTTTTTTTTCCCCATGAGGTCCCACTGGCCCCTGCGTAAGCAGTGATGGTCACGGAGGCTTTGCCGTCACGGGGTGCGTTTGCTGAAACCAAGAAAGTCCCAGCGGCTTCAGCACCCCTTTATAACACCATTTTTTTGTTGCCGAAAACTGAAAATTTTTAACTCAGGGGATTTTTTCTGGCACTTTCCCAGTGGACAGTTGTCATCTGCTGAACGCTGGCTGTCCTCCTGCCTCCCTCCCCAGGCATCTGCGCCTGTGCACCCCCAAAACCCCGCAGGGGCTTGGACTGACCCCCACCATCGGGGGGGCGGGAAGGCTGTGGGGGTCTGGGACAGGCAGGGACGTGGGGTTTGGGGTCAGGAGCGGTGAAGCCAGGGCTGCTCTGCCCTCGCATAGGGGACCCCTGAGGTCCCACCTGGGTCGATGGGCTGGTGCCTTCAGCAAACACACGAATAACCGCAGAGAGCAGACTCACTGGGGGCGCTTGATGTGAGTTTTCAGGTTTTTTGCTCAATTTTGTAGACAGCTGGCTCCCAGGACCAGAGCTGGGACATCCTCCTCCCTTCCCAGCCCACCCCAGGGGTCCCCCAGCCCCATGGCTTGTCCCCCTCC